TATATATAATGTCACACTAGGACAGGGCTACCAAAATGTCTTTCTCTCCATTTACATGGTTATAGTTTTGAAGGAAAGATAACATTGTTTTTTGACTAGAGTGGGCAAGAACCACCGTCGGCACCACAGAGAGTGATAGAAATGTTGTCACCAGAACAGGAAGCGAGGGAAAATCTCTCAGTGGAGCACCAGTTTAGGTTGGGGAGGTTTCCTAGAACGTAATATCAGGTCTCCTTACAAGAACATGAAGGGAACACTGGCAGCCGTGAAAACCTACTAGAGGCCTACGTTTTTCACCACTCTATCCCAAAAAAGTTTTGCAGTTGATCATGAAAACTGATTCAAAGAATAAGACATTTCCATGATTCCACATTGTTCGAGGGACACAGATTCTGAAATGTGCCCGTCCTACAGCTAATGTGCATACAACGTGGAGAATCTCTCCATGAAAATAAAAGTGGAACAATTTCATTAAAAGATCTTTTGTGCACAATGAAATGATCCTCATAATGTTTTATATTACGGGATTTAATGCCTTCCTAGGCTTCCCTAGCACTGTCCAGGGCAGCTACATCTCCTGCACATATCAGGCTTTGGATGGTGGCCCAGGTCTAGTTTTTGTATCCAAGTTCCGTTCTTTAGAGTCCAGATACAACTGATGTGTGCACGTTATACTTGTTGCTGTTTATAATTGCCAAAGGTGTGTTTTCTCTCTTTTTCAGGATTGAATCCCGCTGTATAGTACGTATGAAGGTCCTGGATGTCCTATCCTTTGCGTTGAGCATCAACAGACAATTTTTTGAGGTTTGTTTTGGCAGACTTTGATGAAACTTCTGGGAATCCAGATGTTCATCCTTGGAGGGAATTTCTGGGCAAGCCAAATTCTTTTATGAATGGGCTGTCAAATACTTGTTTTATAAAGTTTTTGCCATTATGTTATACACAGTTGCAGGTTTTCTGTCTGTGCATCTGACTGTTGTTTTTTTTGTTTTGTTTTAGTTTGTATGGGGAAGGGTGTACATTTTTTTTTCTTTTAGAGTCTGTCACTTTGGCCATTTAGGGCAAAGTGACAGTGTCTGCTGATGGCTTACCCCAAACCATGTATGGGCCCCTCTCTGCTTCACAGGAACCCTTGACATGTTGGTGATCAGGAGTGGCATCTGGGCATGGGGAACACATGACGTCCCCTATGTGACATCAATTTGGTCTGAGAATCCAATGTAATAGTTTTTAGCGCTGTGCATTGTTAGATTGGATTTGCAGGAGCTTTGGGCTTTTTGGCATAGCGGCTTCTAACTCTCATATATTTAGATTCTTTCCTTAACCTCTTGCCGTCCGCCCGTAGTAGAAAAACGGACGGACGGCACTGCTGCAATGGCGGGTTGCCGTCGCCAGACGGCATTTTTTTTTCTGCTCGTGCGCGCTCCCTAGCGGGCACGCACGGGCAGAAAAGACCCGTCCAATGCGAACACAGCTCCGCCAGTCAGCGCTGGAGTGGGGAGGGGGGAATCCAGTCCCTCCCCTGACAGGATCGAGAAGTGAGCGAGCGCCGGTATGTGTTCGCTCACTTCCCGATCTACTGAGCTGACCTGTGACAGTTTCATTGTCACAGGTCGATGAGTGAAAAGCACTCACCTCATAGTTCTCCTTTTAAGCGCAGATTATTCTTATCTCAATTTGGTCTGAGAGGCTAGTCACCAGGCTGAAGCACTGTCGTGGGGGGGAAGTGGCATCATCCACCTCTGACGGTGCTAACCCAGGGTATATTCTGCAGTGAGAAGGCAGTGAATCTCTTTAAATATGATCAGGGCTAAAACAATATATAATTGTTATCCACGATTTATATCCACTTTTAGCCTCCGTTTCAGGTCTCCATTTTCTTTATATTACCTGCTGGAGAAGGCCTACAGGGCTTAATAGCTAAAGCTGAAATATACACCCATAAGTGACAGTCACAGCAGTGGCTCATTCCTTTCTCTCTCCCACCTTTTTAAACCCCTCCATATGAGTTCAATCACAAAAGAGTGCCTAAAAGTTATAGCTGTTCCTAGCCTCTTTAGATAACCAATAGTGCTTTTAGGATCCTTTGCCTTGGATTAAAAGTTTATAAAACAAAGTGAAGGGAATTTATCAGAATCTGGAGCAGCTGTGCATGGCGACCAATCGGCTTCTCTTTAATGTTCAAATCCTAAATGAACAAACTGGAGAGAAGCTGATTGGTTTCCCTGGGTAGCTGCTCCAGATTTTGTCTGCTCCAGTTTTAATCAATTCCCCCCCGCCCCCAGAGTGTGTATATGTATCTCTGGTCCCTCATTAAATTGCTCCTCTTGTGATTTTGGTTTTTAGGAGGAGCTCATAGAGAAGGTGGTGACCTGCCAGCTGGCACATATCCCGGAGGATAAAGATCACCAAGTCCGAAAGCTGGCCACACAGCTCCTGGTTGACTTGGCAGAATGCTGCCACTCTTGTCATTTCAACAGTTTGATGGATATCATTGAGAGGGTAAGGCTTTTCCTTCTGTACAATTAAGTCTTTTATTGTATGTGCTTTCTGTATTTTAATAATTTAATGGGCAGTTCATTTGTATATTATTATTTTTTTGGGCTGCTATAAACATTGTAGGGTTGGTTTTAGTCAGAAGCCAGCTAATCTAACTCTTTCTGGGTTGGGTGAGAGAGCGGGAATCCCTCGAGGCAGGGCTATCTTTATAATCTTTATAATGAGGCAGCCTGAGGAGGTTTCCTTAGGCGTCATCTCATTGGGTGTTAGAGGACGGTCGCAGTATCCCACGTTGCTAAGAGCTATTGGCTACTGAAATGCTCTGTCTGGCGTACTGCCCAGCTCACTGATGTCACCAGTTGCTTAGAGCTGAGCAGGATGCTCTGTCTTGCGTCTTGTCCAGCTCCTCCTGGCAACCAGTGACGTCGTTTGGCTGGGCATGAATCCGGACAGTGCCGATGACAGCGTGATCACATGTCCGCTGCCCCCACGTCCCCCCTCGGGAACAAAATTGTCTCAGGTGGCTATTACCATAGGGATGGCTCTGTCTGGAGGAAATTCACATTTGGCTTGTGCCTATAGGAGGCTAAAGCAAAAAGGTGGCATCTTTCTGCACATTTTAACTACCATGGGCCGCAAAAATACAGACATTTCACACCGTCTTGTTTACACATTGTCACATGAGCCAGAATAGGACCAGCAAAACCAAAAACAAAATCCTTTGCGTTAATATTTGATCCTAGCAGAGGAATGTTGCTTTGGGGCAGCAAAGTCTGTTGACATCGGGCTCCAGCACTGAAATTCAACCCTGTCTTCATATCATGAAGGGGGGAAAAAACCTTCTTCTGGACTAGAGAGATTTTTGGTTCCGTAGCTCCAATTATTTTTATATTGTAAGCTGTAATTAAATTAACCTCTTGCCGTCCGCCCGTAGTAAAAAAACGGACGGACGGCACTGCTGCATCTGCGGGTTGCAGTCTCCAGACGGCAATTTTTTTCTGCTCGCGCGCGCCCCCTAGCGGGCACGCACGGGCAGAAAAGACCCGATCAGTGCACACACCCGTTACCGGGTGTTACACATATAGGCGATCAGCGGGTCCATAGCCCGCCGATCGCCTATATGTGCTCGTTCGCGGCAAACCCCATCAGCACATTCCCCCCGGCGCCCGGTCGGCGCTTCCGGTTTCTCCCCCACCCCCCCCTGACCCCTCACCTTGATTCCCGGGATCCGCTGCCCCATCTTGGATCCCGGGACCGGCTCCGAGGGCGAGGGTCTGTATGGTCAAAAACTAACACTCTCTGTATTTCTATAATGGATTTTAAAAGTTCTATCCCACACCTAACAACCATATCCTTCTAGAATTTTGTAAACTTGCTTATTGAAGATGCCCGTAGAATTAACCTAATCAATGCACTGATGCAATTTCACTCAGCCCTGTGAATGTGCACTTCCTGGTGTCACAACTTAACGAAGCCTGCCATCTGGACTACAACTCCATGTCTGAGCAATGTAACTTAATCATGGCTTACTGTAAGCAATGCACGATGGGATATGTAGTCTTAAGAAATGGAGATTGCATCACATCAAGCAGTGGGGAAAGAGACCCAAAGCACACTGGGAGTCAGGGAGGTTGTTGACCGTGATGGGCAGATGGTAGGCAGCACTCACTACATAGGTTTTGCAAGTAAGCTTTGATTTCATTATCGAAAGCGACTCTAGGATGTATTCCTATTACAAAGGTGATGTTATAAAGTGATGGGATATGCTGTATGCTGGGACTTACTTTACAACACCTTTAAATTTATCTTTTTCTTTAGGCTGTGTCTGTATAGTAATAGGATTATGTTCAAGAGGGGAAGGTCCTACAGCTACATCCATAAAGCAATATGTAGACCAAAGGGACCGTTCAAAAGGCTAAGGGCTAGAAGTCATGGAGGGGTTTTTAGGCAATTATAGGACCTTCACAGACGCTTTAAAATTGTGTAAAAATATCATATTTTATTAGTCATTAAAAATAGGAAACATAAAAGCATACAGTATATGCATATTGGTGCTCAGCCTAAACTTGGTAAGCATGAACACCGTATACTCCTATACAGAGGACAAGTTAAGATCAGTGAGTCCTTAGTTGGAATCAATGGACGGTTACTGTTGTAGAAAATCCTCTACGCATTTTGCCACAGCAGAGGCTTCATCTGGAGGAACATATGATGTGGATGATTGTAACCATATATGAAGCAGCTATTCTTCCATTGGAGTGAGCAAAACAGGACTGCAGAGGCTTCAATAGTCACGACCTTGGTTCCCCCCTAGGGGGCCGCAGGAGAAAAGCGAGCAACGAGGAGAGGACTGCAATGGAGATGATGCCTGTTGATTCAAATAGCATAGCATATGTGTTGAGGCTTTCCAAGATGAGCAGCAAATGTTTAGGCTGTATCTGTGCTGTAAGCAAGCAGTTCTGGATGCAGTCAGCCACAGGGTGTACAAATTAATCATTTGTATCTCGTGCATTTATTATTAAAGTCGGCAATAAATAACATATTTGTAAAGGTGGTAGAGATTACTTCTGTTTAGGGCTGCGGAAATTAACGATTAATTTCTCGATTAATCGTTAAAATTTCTCTCCCGTTCATTGAAGGACACAGATACTTGCGCGTCACCCAGCCGGATCGGTCTTTCACGCCAGGACGCGGTCGGGTGAGGACGCACTGGGACACCGGGAGTTCGGGTACTGTAGGAGGGTCGTCTGCCTGCGGGTCGGTTTGCTTGGGGCAACTGCGACAACAGGCCTAGGGACGGGGGCGGTGCCTAAATCCTATTTTTTGATCGATTTTAAAATTCTTTCGATCAAAAATGAAAACTCTCCTCTCCGCCGGCTTCCGGGTCTTACGGGAGTCCCGTCGGAGATCCGGTGACGTCACGGCCATCGACATCACCGGACTTCTCCCCCTTCCCCAAGTGGCTCCGTCGGCTAACGAAGGGAAGGGGGGAGTCCGGTGACGTCAATGTCTGTGACGTCACCGGACTCCTCCCCCCTTCGTTAGCCGACGGAGCCACTTGGGCCGGTGATCTGTCGACACTTATCGAGTTCTGCGACCGCCTGACTTCCGGTTTCGTTACAACTAAGAGGTTTGCCTAAGAAACTAGGCATTGGCCTATACACATACAGCACAGCAATTAAGTAATAAAATGAACTTGGATCACACTAATCCAGCACGTTATTATTCTGAGTTGCCCCACTCAAGCGGTGGCCATATTGAGTGGGGCACATGAGATTAAGAACGTGCTGGATTAGTGTGATCCAAGTTCATTTTATTACTTCATTGCTGTGCTGTATGTGTATATGCCAATGTAGTTGGATCTGTATGTGCGTTTATAATCGAAATAATCCAAATTAATTTTTTTAAATCGAACGCGAAAATTTTAATCGATAACAGCCCTTCTTCTGTTGTAAATTGGTGACTGGTGTCGTTATTTGCAGTGAAAACACTGTGTTGCCCATAGCAATCAGAATCTGTTTTCAGGTTTGTAATTCTGGCCAGAAGGATCATCTGGCTGGTGTGTATTAGACGGTTCATTCAGGCACCCTTCCTTGTGTTTGCTTTCTGAGTGTGTGAATTATAAATTTCCCTTTTTTTTTTTTAGGTGGTGACCCGATCCCTGTCTGTTTCTGCGGACTCCCCTGGACAGGATGCATCATCTTTGGAAGATGTCAAAACCTCTGTGTTTGGCCTGATGGTCATCCTGCAGGTGGGTACCGGAACTTTCTCTCCAGATGTGTAATTTGGCAATAGTCCTTGTAAGGTAGTGATATGAATTTCTCTATGTGCAGACCAAGCTATACATCCTCCCTGCCAGCCATGCGACGCGTGTGTACGAAATGCTGGTCAACCACATCCAGCTGCACTACAGGAACCTGTACAGCTCTCCCATCGCCAGCATCATCAGACTACAGGTCAGTTTGTGTCATCCAGCGCACTGTAGAGCAAAGAAGAATCTCATCGCTCCAGTTCCTCGGTTGCCACCAGGACTCCCCAGGTGCTGGTCAAATGGGTGCGTTTTTCACCTTCGAATATAGTAGTATACGAACAGACCGCACTTCCAAAGAGATCCAATGCTTTACGCTTTTATTGAAATCCACAGCAAATCCTTATAACTGTGTATAAACTGATGAAGACCAACATCGCAAACCCCCGACCATCTAAAGGCTTTGCAGTGCTGGTGTTCATCAGTTTATACACTGTTTATAAGGATTTGCTGTGTATGTCAATAAAAGCCTGAAGCATTGGAACTCTTTGGAAGTGGGGTCTGTTTGTATACGGCTATATCTGGAGCACTGTGCTATGCTGTGAATCCATACGGCATACCACCGGGAGTTTTAGTAAGTAGGCTATACACATTCAATTCTTCATAAAGATGGCCTGATCTCCGTCGAAACATTGGCAATAAAATGCCGATACCTGCAAGACCCGTGAGTGCCTCTGTACCTATGTTGGATTCACATTCAAGTATATACATATTTTTAACAAGCTGTAAATTCTTTTTAAAAGTTCTTAACGATATCTGTAGCTGCAGCCACTGTGGAACAATTCATCCTCAAGTTCACAACCCTGAAATCACTCTCTCTGAACCTCCATGTCTGGTTTGTCATGATCTTTCATATTTATTTATTTTTTTTCCCCACCAAACAAAAGGTGTTTGACTTCTTCTTGCTCCTGCGGGCGGACGCTCTGAAGCGCATCGGTCTCCCCAATAAAGATGGAGCTGTGAGGTTCAGCCCGTACTGCTTGTGTGAGTTTGTGTAAGTGTCACCTGACTGGTGCCCTCTTTTCCTAAACAAATCCACCAAATCTATAAGAACTTGTTACATTTGATTAGTTTATTTGGCACTGTTGATATACAGTAAGCAGTTTGTAGGAGCGTGTGGTAAGGCTACTGTAAACACAAAGTGATCATTGCCCAATGCAACCAGTGACAACCCAACAAATGGCACATGCCTGCATGTCCGTGGGCACAACACAGCCATTGCAGGCCCTCAATGTTTTGCTTTAAGGGGTTGGAGGTAGGCCGCTTCAACATGAGAGAAAAACAGTTGGGTCCCTGGTGTGCAATTCATCTCTTCTCTTTCAGGTTTATATTGGCTAATAATGTACATTATAAAGTTAGTTTTGATGCTTTAAGGCAGGATGTGAGCTTAAGTATCTCCCTGATCTCTGTTAGGAGCGAGCCTGAGAAGAGGCCACCAGAGCGGAAGCCAGCCGGCACTCTGTCTCCCCCCTCTGGCAGCCCCAGCCTTTCCTCCCAGGGAGTCTGTCCTCGATTGGGCTACCTGCCTTTTTCTCTGGCTTTTGGTGTCATTCTGCAATGTTTAAAGCAGGTATGGTGTCATCTTTGAAGCAGATCTGGTCAAAGACGGATCTGTTCTGACTATATTTGGGTCACTTCTGGAGACTTTAATTTCTGTATAATCACTGCACTCTTTTTTTTTTCTTGCAGGAAACAGACTGGAAAGTCCTCAAACTGGTTCTCAATAAACTGCCTGAGTGTCTTCGATACAAACTGCTCATCCTGTCCTCTCCCTGTAACATTGATCAGCTTTCTGCATCTCTCTGTACCATGGTGAATAGTCAATCTATAGAGGGTTTGGGGCTGGGTTCACACTTCTGAGGTGCGTTAACACAAATCCTGTTTACATCATTTACTTCACATGCGCTTTGTGTTAGGGCAGCACATTCATTTGAATGGACTCTCTAATACACTAAAACGCACCAAAAAGTGTGTGTTTTTGGAAGGCAGTTCACTACAATACACAGTAGTGCATTTCCATGCTATGTGGTGCACTAAAATACATTGATAATGTGCATTGGGGTGTAATTTAAGAATGACACCGAAGTACCCCAATGTGGAACAAAAAGTACATTTATGCAGTGCTACCATTTGCATTCCCTCAGCTCAGAGCTCACCTATCACCTGTTAATCTGGCTACTGGCACTACTTTTTAAATGCCTGTTCACCACCAAACTTGAACTGTTTAAATGCATAAATGTCTAATGCAGAGAGCTGTCATACCTCTTGAAATGTATTTCTTGCATAGTAAGGAACCGATAGGAAAGTGACAACTGCACCTAAAATGTAACTATACTGTCTTGCTGCTTTTTTCCCCCCTCACTCAAGTATTTTCATTACATATGTTTTTTGTTCCAGCTCTCAGACCGAAGTGCGAGTGAACGCTTGTATAATACTCCAGAAGGTTTCTCTCGTACTGAACTGCAGCTGGCTGTGGTTCCTGTACTGACTGCATTGACCTCATATCATCAATATCTGGATGTTGGCAAACAGGTATTGTTTTTCGGGCTCTTCACTTAAAGGCCTAGGAGTGAAAAAATGCTTTGTGTTGACAAGTGTAAAAAAACAGCGAGTATCTGCATTGTAATTATAATGTACTGGTTATGCAGTATATTGATATCTTCTGATTGGAATCACCCCTTTAAAGCCTCACTGCAGTATAATGTTTTCTAGGCTTATTCAATAAACAGTGCATGGAACCAGTGTGTAAGTGCAAAGCACCGTACCCAGAGAGGCCTGTAAGAATCCATTTGTACTGGTCTAATACTGGCCATAGACTGCTCGAATTTCACCTGTAGGTAGACTCCACAAGCACCACCTGGCTCAACAAAAGTCGATTTAAAAGTCGAGTGAGCTGGGTGGAAAATCACCCAAACAATGGCTGCATCCCATCTCACATGCAGTCTGTGTGGCAGTGCCATTGTATTCAAGTAGCTGCTTGTATACAACAGCTGGCAGTGGAGGTTCCTCTATCCTTGGTTTGTGTGGATGAGGAATCGATTGATTTTTCTCTCCATCAGCCCATGAGAACATCTAGCCGTGTATGGCCGGCTTAACTTCTGATTGGTCGCCATCAGTCATTGCGACTTCTAGTTCTGCTTTGTCCTTACCTCCCTTTTTTATTGAATAAACCTGATCAGGGTCACTTTATCGGTGAGCTCCAGACGCTTCAAGATCTTAGGAGTAAATGTGCAAAGTGAAAAATATTTTTAATATGTCTGTTTTTATTCCATTGGATGCCCCGTTAGACAAAAAAAAAAAGTATCACCTTTGGCATTCAGACACCAGCACTCCAGCAATGTTCTTTGAAAGGCAGCATCACAAGACAGGAATAGGCAAATTGTTTGGCCTTGCAAGGTTTCTTGGCCTAGGTTTTCTTGAGAAAGGGACCGTACATTGATGGCTTCTTGACTCTTCATCTTTCTATTGCACGGTGCCATCACTTGAAGTCACCACAAGCACGCATTGGCAACACCAGTTGAACATACTGTAGAGTGCAGCCTATACCTATCTTTGGCATCCAGACAACATAGGAACCACTATACATAATTCTGTGTGATGGCCTTGGTAGTATCCAGACTACATAGTGGCCATTATAGAGAATGCTATTAATCTGACACTAAATTCTCCTTCATCCATTTACTTTAGTCTGGGAAAGTTTGTTGCAGCAAAGCGTTTTGCGTATTTATTGTAAGCACTGCTGCCGCCCTCAGAAAAAGCCATAGAAGCTGCATATAACTTTATATCATGTACTGGTGAGATATTTCCTGACCACAGATTCTGGATTATAACCTCCTATAAAAAAAGGTTTAAAGCTAAGGGATGTACTGCATTATATGTAAAGTGGGACACAGATGTAAAAAGGTAATAATTGTGTTTGCATTTTCTTCCTCTGGTAGAAGGAAATGGTTCGCTGCCTGGAGACTGGCCTCATCTACCGCTGTGCCAAGCAGTGTGTGGTCGCCCTGTCCATGTGCATGGTAGAGATGCCAGGGATACTGATCAAGTCCCTTCCAGTGCTCATTGTGAAGCTAACGCACATTTCTGCCACTGTCACCATGGCTATCCCCATGCTGGAGTTCCTGTCCAGTAAGTTTTTTGTTTTAACATGAGTTTATCTGGTCACCACATATATGCTAGCAAAGTGAGCCATCCGTTTGTCATATTTAGACTGGTTTAGTCAGCCATTTTGTGCTGCATCCATGTAGTTCTTTTTTCATAAAGTAGTACAGTAAGCCTTCATACATAGTCAGCCATTTTGTTCATTATTTTTATACCACCAGAGAAGGTCGCCTAGTTTGTCATATCTAGGCCAGCAGTAGCTTCTTATCAGGTTCTTCATAGAAGGGCTAAACAGCATCAGCCATTTTGTTTTTATGGGATGAGCAAGTCGGATCTCTTGTACCTCATCATGTTGTAAGACCACTTTAATTGTCTCTGTCTTCAACATTCTCTAACATGTACCCTTCAATGTTTATCTTCCAGCTCTGGTTCGCTTGCCCCACCTATATGGGAACTTTGCTGCAGAGCAGTACGCAAGCGTGTTTGCTATTTCTCTGCCATACACCAATCCTTCAAAGTGAGTACTTGTGCAAAATGCCGTTATTACCAGGAAAACAAATGCAGCAAAACTGGAAGGTAGAAGATCTTCCAATAAGATTGTGTGTGCATCAAATATATTTTAGGAATATTCTGTTCCTGTAAAAGGTTTCCTTGTGTAGACAGTCAAAAGCCCCGAGACTGCTGGGTGCCACTATCTTGGAAGTGATGTCAGCAGACCCAGCGTTGTCACTCTATACTCTCCTTTTGTACTCTTCTCCCAGCAGCTGTCTAGAGGACGGTATCGTAGGGATGCTCCAATACCGTTTTTTTGGTGTCGAGTACGAATACCGGTGCATCCGCTGGCATGGAGCCGGCTGTTCGGCCAGCTTGGGAGGCGGGTCATTACTCACCACCTGACTTCCTGATTGCCCGGGAAGCCAGTTCCATGTTCCCCTATGGGACTGCCACACAGAGGAAATCTTCCTCTGACTGGAAGTTCTGGTATCGGGGAAGCTATCGGATAGGGATGCTCGGATACCGATACAAGTATCGGCGGCGATAGCGAGTATTTACATGAGTACTCGTGCAAATACTCCGATACAAAAAAACGAGTTCCTATGCGTCCGCCATCTGCAAGGACCCAAAACCGCCGCACGCGCCGTCTTCAATGAAGCAAGATGGCCGCGAACTACTCCTCCACGGTCGAACGGCCGAAAGTAAACTCCAAGTCCTCAGTCATCTGCTCCATTCTGGCCTCTTCTCCCGCTGATTGGCCGATTGGATGATTGACAGGCTTCCTCACCAGTCAGGAGTGACTGGTGAGGAAGCCTGTCAATCGGCCAATCAGCGGGAGAAGAGGTCAGAATGGAGCAGATGACTAGGCTGTGACACGGAGTGGCTGAAGCAGACGGAGAAGACGATACAGCAGGTTAGCACTGCAGCACCGCATGGGGGCTGAGCACAAAAATGCTGTTTAGCTGCATATAATATAAAAAAAAAAAGATATTATTGAAATAACTATGTAGATATTGCTAACTAAGGCTTGTATCCCCCTAGTGGGGGAAATAGATGAGCACATGTCCAGACCCCAGACCATAACACTGTATAGTGTGGCACAGCTATATCCAATTCTGCATACCTGGCTTTATATTATAAATACAAGCCTTAGTTAGCAATGGCATGATAAATATTCATTTCATGTTCTTCATAATATTAAGAAACTGACCTAAAATCATGATTTTGTATTGCTTTAGAAAAAATGTGACCTGTCCCTTTGAGAAAAAGTATTGGTAATTGGTATCGGCAAGTACTTGGGGAAAAAAGTATCGGTACTCGGTCTTAAAGTGGTATCGGAGCATCCCTAGTATCGGAGCGTTTGGGCGAGTACAAGTACTCGCCCAAATACTTGGTATCGGCACAGATACTAGTATGAGTGAATCCTTACTATATAGGTAGGTGAAGAGAAAGACAGAGAAGCTAAACCAGCAAAGACAGTAATTAGAAGAGGCGTTGTTTTGGAAAGTAAGGGTTTGGAGAATGGGACCATGTTTCAACATGGTCAGAAAGGTGGACTCACTAAGGTAAATCACTAAAATTGCTGATGAAATGCATATAAAGGAGCGGTTTTACCTGTTAGTATTTCTGTCCACCCGATTGTGGGATTTACAGTGGCTTGCTACAATGCATAGCTAAGCCGATGTCATTTCCTTCTCCGTTACAGTTGTAGACTGTAGAAGGGATACAATAGTGCCCCCTCTCCACCCACAGCCACCTGAATGGACAGTGGAAGATCAGTAGCAGACTGATGATTTGCATTAAAGCAGAACGCTGGGCAAACAAATCTTAACCCTTGCAGTGGGACTACCCCCTCACTGCAAGGGTCAAGTGTTCGTTCTGTCTAGGGAGCTAAAATAACAAAGTTCTACTCACCTGAACCGCTATCCCAGCTGACTCCTACACTGCTTCCTCCAGACTGTCTCCTTCTCCATTCCAGCAATAAAAATGCCCCTCAACGTTCTCATGTGATATACACTTTATAGGACATGAAGACTCACGAGACCTTGGACCCCTGAAGAAGAGGGGAGAGCAAGGCTCCATAGACAAAACCGTATTTTAACCCTTTGCAGTGTGGGGGTAGCCCCACTGCAAGGGTTAAGTTTTGCTTTTCCCGGAGTTCTGCTTTAAAGCATGCATTTAATCAATATATAGCTGCATACCTTTTTTATATCCTTTTTGTATTTACATCTGATTTTGCTTTATTTATAGTGTACGGTGTCTGTAATTTTTTGCCACGCTGGATACATACTATTTATTGTGACAAGACATCTTTTGATCTCTTTCCTCCAGGTTTAATCAGTACATTGTGTTCCTGGCCCACCATGTCATTGCTATGTGGTTCATCCGATGCAGACTGGCATTGAGGAAAGATTTTGTGCCTTACATAACAAAGGTAATTACCATTTCGTTACCTGGGAAGCACTTCCATGTGTACTGGAACATTCATGTTGTTTGCCTTCCTCCAGGGTCTACGCTCCAATGTTCTGCAGAGCTTTGACGACACTCCTGAGAAAGGGAGCTTCAGAGCCCGCAGCACCAGCCTGAATGAGAGGCCTAAAAGGTACGTCATGTCTTTTTATATATGATGGCTCCTACCTGGAGCACATTGAGGAAATGCATTAAATATAAAACCAGCAAATCTACACAGTGGCAGTTTTCAGGATGGCCAAAGAGGAGCTGATCTATTGCAGACCTCCTCAGATGATGGACCTAAAAAAACCTGAGCAAGTGGAGACTACATTGTTTTTCTTCTACCGGCCACTCAGTGATTTCTGGAGTTTGATTACTGTAAGAAAACTAAGAATATCTGACCTCCCAATTCAAAGACAAGGTTCTCTCTGTTCAGCATATCCTGAAGGTCTGTCATTGACTCTGCTGGGGTTTGTTTTTGAAGGAAAACTATTGTCTTGGAGAACATATTTTTGAGTTCTTGCAAAGATTAGCTGAAAGTAAAGGTTTAAGGGACTTGCACTGTTTTTTTATGCTTTTTTTTTCCCATATGGAGCTTTGTAGCCCTTCCCATTGCTTTCATTACTCTAGGCAGTGTAGCCAGTAATAGGGACGAGCTCAGGTTTCCACCACACCTGAGCTCATCTGAACACAGAAGCTTCATGGGGCCTTCCACCCAATCAGCTCTTGGGTCTGGGGCATTGCCCGCCCTGCAGCTGACCATAAACCATGTCTGCACAGCCATAAATGGAAGGGATGCTTGTGCAGAGATCATCGACCTTTTATGGCCACAGTAGGTAAATGTGATTTGCCTAATATAGTGATGTAGCCATATAAAGTCAATGAGGCCACTGAACCCTGTACCTTGTATATGTCAAGCTGCTGGTGGGGATGTTCCTGCCTGCAGCTGATTGGCTGACATGGAAGGAGCTTCTTTAAGTGCTCACAGGACCTCGCATACAGACTGGGTTTAGATACACTCAGATTGATGAGCAAAAATTATTTAAAGTGACACAAAATTCAAGAGATAAACCCTACAGATGCATTCAGGTACCTTAACTATTAACAAAAATGTAGATTGGTGCATCACTCAGCTGTAGATCCTCAAATCATCTCTGAATTGGTGCCGACACTGTCCTTCCTTCTGGAGGGGGGCTACTTGTGTTCCCCATGGTCCCTGTGTGTGTTGTAAAGTAGCCACCCCTCCAAGCTCGCCCCTGTGATAGACTACAATCTCATGTTTAGTTTACTAATTTGTATTGGGATTGTAGTCCATCACAGGAGCAAACTGGGAGCAGTGACTCATTTACAACACACACAGGGACCATGGGGAACACAAGTAGCCCCCCTCCAGAAGGAAGGACAGTGTCGGCACCAATTCAGAGATGATTTGAGGATCTACAGCCGAGTGATACACAAATAAGATACATTTCTGTTAATGGTTCAGGTGCTTGAATGTATTTTTAAGATTTAACTCCTGAGTTTAGTGTCGCTTTTTAAAAAAGGTTAAGGCTATGAACTCTCTAACTTTGTAAGCCTGCATATGAAAGCTTTTCAAAGGTGTCCTTTCATTTGCAGCCATGTAGCTAATGTTTTGCTGTATAGCCAGGTCTGTCCTTTCTGAAATCGATGGACTCTCTGTAAGGCTACTCCAGGTTATCTCAACAGTCATTTAGAAGGGCATGATCATCACATTCCCTTTAAAGTGACATTAAACCCTCACATTTTTTTACATAAAACAATACTGTAATGTGTGCCTTACAGTAATCCATGGTTGTTTCCCTTCTCTTTGCTGCTCTTCCTTTTAAATCTGTATCTGTTCTCATGCTGGGCAGAACTTCTGTTTTGCAGCAGACTGCCTTGTCTCTGAAATGGATACATGGTATCTGTGTGTAGGTTTGCAACCTGAGCAGCACTACAGGAAGAGGCACTCAGCTGCAAAGGGAAGTTCTCCCGTAGCATGAGAAGACATGAGGATTTAAAAGGAAGAGCAGCAAAGAGAAGGGAAACGACCATGGATTACAGTAAGGCACACATTACAGTATTGGTTTATGTTAAGAAATCTTGAGGGTTTAATGTCACTTTAAATACACCTGACCTCTAGCGAGTATTTACATATCTGTACATTAATGTAGTAGTAATTATATGGAATGTCAACCGAGTAAAAATGTGAGCATGACCTAAAAATGTTACTTTTTGGCTTGGAGCCCCTATTCTCTTGTCACCTTTCTGCGTCATTATATGACATGGTATGTACAGCGACAACGTTGGGCTAGAATTGTAATACCCCCTTGTTGATGATCTTTTTAATTTGTGTATTGTTTTATACATTTTTTTGAAAAACAAATACACTTTTTGACATTACGAAAATGTTATTTTCAGGTCAGTGTTACAATGATCACTAATAATATGTACGTACTGGAAAAGATACTATAGTTTTCCTTTTAAATTCTTCTTTCAATGTCTCCATTTTGTTCCTTGTAGTGAGTCACATAAAAATGCTATTTTCCCTTAATAGAGCTTCAAATATTCTGTCAGTAAATGTGTTGCTGATCTTACTGACCTTTAAATGCCAGCTACCTGCTTGAGACATTCCATAAAGATGATTTCTCCATTAGAAATTATTTGTATTAGTTTCCATTTTCTTTGCATTAACCTTCTATTCAGTGCAGTCTTTATTACCTTTTCTTTCCACATGTTTCCCTTTTTGAAATGCTATTCATTGTTGTCATTTTGCTCAGTATGTGTTTAACATTTGCTACACCCAAGATGGATATTGTAATTTAAACCATACTGACACGCAATGCCTGCTTTTAGGGAGATCTATTATGTACTAAACAGGTATGTGCCATCTTCGTCCCTTCACATGCAATGACATCATCGTGGTGCTGCTTTGTGACAAGTGCTGTGCGAAAGGAATTCGGCCATTGAAACTGGTGGAGAAATGCGTTTTTCTATTTCGTCCATTAAGGGACACAATGTCTTTAAAGTAGTATTGAATTCTCAAATTATTTTAATACGGAGTCCAGATCAAACAAATATACATTGTCCGGCAAAGTATTTTTTTACATTTTTGCCCAAATGCTTAGTCATCATGTTTCCAAACGGCTCCAATTCTCTCGTATTCCCTGAACTTCCTGTCCTGTACAAGAACACAAGGGATAGAGCAGTCTCAAGCAACTGTCCCATCTACTAGCTTGGAGAAGGGAGGGGAAAAGAGCAGGGCAGTGTCTAGCCTTGCTGTGCCTGTGGGTTTGTGGAGACGCACACAGCTTAGTAGCTCACACAAGGGTGGCTCCATAGGGTATTTTAAGGGTACATCAGGGCAAATTAAAGGACATCTCTCTGAATTATATGCACATTCTCCATGTTTTCCCAACATTCCCTTTTAATGACCCTGCTTGTACAGATAAAACCTGTTTATCCTGGCATATTCACATTTGACTCCAAATTTCCTATTGTTGGCTAACAATCTGGTGCCCCTTTTAGATGAAAATCACAAGTAATTGTCATCCTTGCCCATTTGTCTTTTGCTAAACTAAAGAACATTTCCCTCTCCATCTTCACTACCTGGGGAGGAGGTGTTCTGTAGTCCAAGGGAAGAACTGGGAGTGCTGATTAGACTGCTCGATCTAGAACTGCAGAGTGCACTGGGTAGCTTTGGATTTCTGGCAGGATCAGCATTTTTTCTGCACTCATTGAACAGATATAACAAAACTTTTTCAATGCTATATTTAGCAGACCAAAAAAATAAGAGACATTGATTGTTGGGGTTCATATACACTTTAAGGCAGACTACAGGCATACAAATAGCATTATTGACACTCAACCAACGTGCATGAGGGCATGTTATGCCCATTACCCACATACATCCACCTCTGAACATCCCTTACCCTCAGCTTATCTTTTTATGCACTCTTCTCCAGTAGAACCACGATGATGTCTCCGGTTTATTCACAGGTGGAGTCTCCTGGTTTTAATTTGGCCACATTGCACATGTCTATTGCTGGGAATGGGTATAATAATCAGCCCAGCTCAATATCGGTTCATAGTATTTACTTTAATGTTTCCTTTTCCTCTTAAATACCTCAAAAGGGATGTCCTAATTGGGACATTTTCCCCATCATCCTTCTAGTAGCAGTTGTAAGATGGTCAGAGGGACTTTTAACAGCTGAGGGTTGTCATTAAAACATTTTGACGCAGACATCAACTGAGCTTTGGCTCTGGTAGGTGTTATTGAGGTCCATGGCATCCTTGATTGAGCCAGGGCAGATGTCCTCAGCTGATAGAGGTCCATTTTTTGGCTGCTGCTCGGAATAACCAGCTATAACTACCATCAAGTGGTTGATGGGGAAGATTTCTCAAATGTGGAAACCTCCTTTTTTTTAATTTTAACTGAATTCAAAAGAAGAAACATTTGTGTTCTGGGGTATAGTAAAAACCTGGTCCTGCGCCATATGTATGTGCTGCAGATTTGCACCTTAAGTTGGCATATTGTATAATATATTTTTTCTGAATTCTGCATTGGTTTAACAAAACAAATCATTCAATGGATTTTTTAATGGCAAATATACTTTATTGTCCTCAATTCACAATCCGTGATGCTCCAGGTCAGTCCACAAACACTCAGCCAGCGGGGTGCCAGCTCGTATCTGGTCAAGATCTTAGAAATGAAGGATAGCTGCACTCCAAATAAGTTGCAGCTTCTATTTATTATCAACAAGGCATTCAACGGGAGAGCTTTCTCTTGTGCGTTTCACGCATCCTTTTGCTTGCTCATGGCGTATATACTCTGACTAAGCTCAAGGTTGCGTGAAACACATAAGAGAAGCTCTCCTGTGGAATGCCCTATTGATGATGATGATAAATAGAAGCCACAACTTATTTGGAAAGTTGCTATCCTTCTGCTATACTTTTTTCACATGTAATACCCTGTACAGTAAAGGTAGGAGCAGCTTTTGAAGCCAATCGGGTGTTCAGCAGTGCACATTTGCTGATGAGCATGCTAACAAAAGGGGTGAGCAGAAAGGTTACGTCGTCAGTCTGCTGACGTACCGTCACTTCAGTCTGCTGATGTACCAATCACGGGCTGGAGGGGGGTGACCTAGCTATATTGCTAACTGGCAGCTGAGAAAATCCATGTCGCCAACCTGTCTGTGCAGTCTGCAAGGGATGTATACATTTGAGGACTGGTTTGACAGAATCGTAGGGGCTTGGGCAGGTAAAACCACTCCCATATATGTATTTAAAATGTGTATTTAGCAGTTTGCCTGGAGCTAAACTTAATTTTTCCAATGCCTGTATCTAGGGATGCATTGATACTAGTAGCAGTATCTGTGCTGATGCCGAGTACTTGGGCTAGTACTCGTACTCGCCCAAATGCTCCAATGCCTAGCCCGATACTTCCGGTATCATGACTAAGGAGCATGGAACCAGCTTCCTGGCCAACCAGGAAGCCAATTCTTTACATGGCGCCCGTCTTCCTGTTGGCCAGAAAGCAGGTTCCATGCTTTCTCATCACCTAGTGACGAGAAGCATGGGGACGGCTTCCCTGCTAATAGGGAAGCTGCGTGGCGAGTCTTTACACTCCCGGCTAATCATGAAGCCAGGTGGTGAGTCATTACATGCCGCCTGGCTTCCTTAATAGGACTTTCGTTATCGGCAAGTACCGAAAAAAATATATCGGTACTCTATACCCAAATACCGATATCCGTGCATCCCTACCAGTATCTATCCACTAAGACCGTAATTGTTGGTCAACGTGATTTATCCATGTTAAAAAAAAAAAAAAATTGCTCTCTAAAAACCAGTTTCAATAAGTGGCAATCCAAGAACCTGCCACTGGTGGATTGTATCTGTTGTAAGTTCTCCAACCGTAGCAGGTTTGCTTCAGGTGATTGACAAATGACAGAATGATTTTAGCAGTATCATTACAGATGTTGCAGTACAGTGGAGTTTATTTGTTCATTGAGAAAACAAAATATCTGTCTGTATGTGGCTACCATAGGACAAGTTCTTTGATCTCCCCAGAATGCAACTGGCTCTTTTTACAATGCCGCTGCTGTTTGCTTCCTTTTTTTTTTTTTTTTTTTTTTTTTTTTTTTCCCTTTTTTTTTTTTTTTTTTGCTCAGTTTTGTTGCCTTTTTTGCTTTCTCATGTGTGTGGCATTTATTTTTGTTTTCTGTTTCTCCTTTTCTATGGTGTACCCCCAATACTGATCTTCGCGGGCCTTCTGCTGTACCCATTCTACACGTTCCTTCACTGGTTTCCACTGGCATCCTGTGTGTGGGTGGGGTGACTGTGTTTTTTTGTTTTTAATACCACTTGTGTGGAATATGGGTCCGGGTGGTGGGCACCCTTACCCTTTTTGCCAATGGGGTACTCTTTATTGGGGTAGCTTGAAGCTATCCAAACCCTCTAAGCCGGGGTTGAGTGACTCGTCCCCCGTGAAGGAGATGAGAGACCTCTCGAACGCCTTTCGCTCTCGCAGCATCAGTGTGTCGGAGCGTGCTGCGTACAGGTAGAGGCCTGGCATGGTTACCTGGGCCTGTTGCACCCATTGGGGGAGGTTGCATGCCAGGGAAAGACTTGCATGTCCAGCCATAGACACTAGCGCCCATTCCATAACCCTTCTAGCTCTCCCGAATCCATTGTGGACCCCTAACTCACAGACTGCACGTATTGGACTGAAATACTTAAACCTCTGCAGCAAGTTTAATCCTTAGGTGACCTTAACACTTGTTTTAAAAAGGGAAGATTGCAGTCCAGTCCTTCTAATATTTCAGAATTAAAAACGATAGCTCCTGGTCTGAGACTCGCTCAGCCTTTTATAAATTTCTCACGACTTTTTGTAGTGATTTTTGTTTTCATTGGAACGTGTTGGGCTTGCACTGCACTCTTTTCTTATGGGAAATTATTGTAAACTTAAGTCATTGTATGGTTTTTGCATGACAGTCACCTTCAGATTCTTGTGACAGGTCTGTGGATCATGACTTTAATCCCCACGTTATACTAGGAGTTTCGGGAGGATCAGATTGCATCAATTCTTGGCTATGTAGGGAGAGGGGTTACCATCGGAGAAAAGGGAGATTCTGATTAGGCCTCAGAACTATGCCAAAACCTAACTTGATACTTTGTTCACATGTCCAGAAAGATTATTGGTGCAAATAAACCAAAGGAGCATAGTGAAAGTGGTGCTGGGTCTTAAAAGTACACTCCATTTTTGTTTAAAATGTTCAGAGGTCACAGCCTCTTGATTTAGTTGCATCATTGTGTGAGTTTACCCTATGTGCCTCTATACCCTTTTGTAAACACAAAAACCTGAGGTTTCAGCAACCCTTGTTCCTGATCTTGCAGTACAGCAAGTCAGGCTTTCCCCATCTGTCCATTGCAGTATAATTCTGTACCCCTTGATCTTTGTCTTTCAAAGCCCAGTTTAATTTTGCATTGCCAATCTATGGACAAAATGCAAAGTAAAAGGTCAGTTCGGCCACAGTTTCAGCTAAAGGAAGAGTCTGGTGGTTTGAATCACCTTCTGCCTCCTTATCCATTGCATACTTCAGCTATAAGATGTCCCTGCCAAAGTACTTTCTCTGACCCCCATACTTTTTGGCGTGTTTGCTGTTACCACTTCTCCTGTTGCATTTTTTTAGTGCTATTAGAATGCATAATGCACCATGCCTCACTGTAGGTAGCCCAACAGCCAACTGAAGGAGCTTGCCTGGCAGGCTGACCAAGCTGCCCTTTGTGAGGCAGTGGCTTGGCGTTGTCATCCTGGTAACCCTATGTTTGTAATCTCCACCCTTCCTTTACTACTTAGTGAGTCACTGACCTGGAACTACCATGCATCTAATAATTGGCTAATTCTGGGTCATTGACCTGTCAACTAGGATAAGAAAAGACAGAGCTTGCACCTTCAAGTCACCAATGTGTGCTCCCATGTTCCTATCCTAACTCGTTAACAAAAGATTATATGTTCTACGATCTGGCTAGCTCAGTGCCTTGTGGAAGATACAACCACCTCCTGGTTTGTCGGGATAAGTCATGATCTGACAGACCTTCCCTGCAGTTTGTTTGTTGTCTAACAATCATTGCTGTTTTGTGCAGTCGAATGCAGCCCTCAGTGACCAGCTCTAGCCTAAGCTCTGCTGATGAAAGCTCAATGGCCCAGGCAGACGACAGCCTGAAGAACCTTCATCTGGAACTAACCGAGATCTGCCTAGATATGATGGCCAGATATGTGTTCTCTAACTTCACAGCCGTTCCTAAAAGGTGAGTGTTTGACTGAATCATACACCAATGTCTGGGCTTGTGTCATTGGCGTCAGTTTGAGATGCCTCCTGAGATCATTTAGAATTTGTTGAGGGATGCATTTGACCTGTACTTGACTTTGTGTGTGTTTTTGTGTTCCCATAGACATGCATGGAACTGGCAAAACCCCGATATGATTCAAAACAATAGCCCATTGACACAGACCTTAAGCCCGGGGTGCCCATAAGGTCGATCGCGATCTACCAGTGACCACTGGTAGATCGCAATGTCCTCTCCTCCCGCTGGTGGGGCTTCTCTGGATCCCCGCTGCTCTCACCATCTGTATGCAGCGGGATCCGAGAAGTGAAGGAACCGGCGGCGGGGGACTGCGCTGTCGCCGAACTAATGCCGAACGGTGAGGAGAGAGAGAGAGAGAGCGACGCTCGGTCTGGTTCTGACAGCTGGTGCCCCCCTCTCCCCTCACAGCTCAGCCTTAGTACTGTGACAGAGGCTCCGCCCCACCCCCCACCCCCCCGCGGCTGAAGTGCTTCGTGTCTGATCCCCCGCTGCCTCTTCCCGGGAGAGCAGGGGGGATCCATGGGAGAAGCTGAGTGTGCATGGCCGAGCGGTGGAGGATCGGTACATATCAGTGATATGTACCGGTCCTCTGTGCAGGACAAACACTGGAGCAATCAGCTGATTTGTCTGGGGACACATAGTACTAGCCCGGGGTGCCCATAAGGTCGATCGTGATCTACCAGTGACCACTGGTAGATCGCAATGTCCTCTCCTCCCGCTGGTGGGGCTTCTCTGGATCCCCGCTGCTCTCCCCATCTGTATGCAGCGGGATCAGAGAAGAAGTGAAGGAACCGGCGGCGGGGGACTGCGCAGCCGCTGTCGCCGAACTAATGCCGAGCGGTGAGGAGAGAGAGACGCTCGGTCTGGATCTGACAGCCGGTGCCCCTCTCTCCCCTCTCTCCCCTCACTGCTCGGCCTTAGTACTGTGACAGAGGCTCCGCCCCCCCTGCGGCTGAAGTGCTTCGTGTCTGATCCCCCGCTGCCTCTGCCCGGGAGAGCAGGGGGGATCCATGGGAGAAGCTGAGTGTGCATGGCCGAGCGGTGGAGGATCGGTACATATCAGTGATATGTACCGGTCCTCTGTGCAGGACAAACACTGGAGCAATCAGCTGATTTGTCTGGGGACACATAGTACTATGTGTCCCCAGTTATAAATGAACAGGATGTGATTTACATCACATCCTGTTCATTCATGAGTTTCTCAATGGGGGAGAAGCACTCACTACAGAGGCTCCTCCCCATTCAGAAACTGGATGATGGTAAAATATTTAATGAATGAGCAGCCTCTGTGCTTTCCATTTATTTAGAACAGAGGCTGCAGAAAAAAGGATTGAGGACTTTGTGTCAATTTCTTTTTCTATTTTAAAAGTGAAATATCAGGGGGCTGTTTAAACCCCTAATATTTCCCCCGAGCTAAATTGGCCCTAAAAGAGAACCTCCCTAAATTTATCAATGAGGGTTTACCCCGACTTCAAAAGAGTACCCTAAGCATATAATAATATATCAGTTTTTTTTCTCTTCAAACCAAAATTTTCATCCTGTCTTGAGATCTCCCCTTATGACCTCCATATATGACTGTTTCTAATCTAACTCGCAAAACAAAGTTAAGAAATTAATGTTAGCTGGTAGCTTAAAATATATATATATTTTTTTTCTTTTCCTTGTAGGTCACCGGTTGGTGAGTTTCTGCTGGATGGCGGAAGAACGAAGACCTGGCTTGTCGGGAACAAGCTGATAACTGTGACAACTAGTGTAGGGAGGGGAACACGATCACTTCTAGGGTTAGATACCGGGGAGGTTCCAAAGGAGGGAGAGTCGGAATTTAGGTAATAGCCCAGTATATTGAACTATTCATAGAGTAATAACACAATTCATGGTTCATACCCTCAACCACTGGTACTCAGTATTTTGAACTCAATGGATACATAATATCCATGTTCCTCCAAGTAGTAAGTAACTTACCACAACAATTAAATGGTGTTAAATCTATAGCTTTTAAAATAAGTCCTAAAATACTTGTCTTGATGCTCCGAACTTATTGTACAAGTGACTGCTTAGGTGACCAAATGCCTAGGCATCAGTCGGGTATTCTTGGTTGAAGGGGAAGATAAATGTTTAGTCAACTGTTCATTGTTGCTCCACACTAAGCCCCTTCAAATCATTTGACCTTAGCCCAGGTATTTGGTTATGTGACAGTGGAGACTGAGGTAACGTTTTGTGAAGGCCAGCCATGTTGATTTGTTGAAAGTTGTTTTGGAAATGCCCCTAAATACATCACTGAGGAGCAGAAGGCATGGAGTCCAGCCAATAGGCAAAGCTTTTATTACAGCTGTTTAAAAAAAACATTTCGCCAAAGAAGTCCTGCCAATTGAAATCTTTCTTTTTTACCCCAAAGCTCACCTATGCAATCTGAGCAAACCAAAGAAGCTGCAACAAAGATCGACCTGCAGGCGAGAAAGTCGGGTATGCAAACGCCGCGTCACAGAGTCCGCTCCATGTCTGGTGAGCTCACTTCCCTGGGAGAGCGTTCCTCTCCTGTTCTAGTTCTTTCCACATTGGTGACTTTGAGAGTTCAGAGGGGAACTTTTGTGAGTTCAGCACACCATGACCTATCTGTGACCGGTTCTGTCCTTGTTCAGCCTTTACAGCTGCTACCGCTAGCTTTGCTGTGTGCTTGTTCATGAAACTAACAATTTGTCTAATCCTGTCACTTTAATTGGTAACAAATTTGCTGTTCAAGATGAATCGGATCCAGCCAAGTAGATCATGGATCCATTGCACAATTCACATCTAGCATCAGACGTGCAGGAAGGAAGATGGCCCAAATGAAGGCAGCTCTGTATCTATTTATGCGTAAATAAATTAGTTTTCTTTATTATCTAGTGACAGCAGACAGACAGCAGGTGTTACGAACGTACAACAATTGCATTGTTTTGATGCTTGTGAATACAATGCTTTAATGTGCATATCAGACGTGTACAGTGGTAAAATTAGAAAAATGGGGTTTTAAAATTGCTAGAGAGCAGTGACTTTCAGGTTTATTTATAAAACGGCACCAGCTCCCCTAGATGGCGCTGAGTATAGGAATTTCCTAGTGCCCTCTAGTAGCCTTAGTGCCATGCGAATGGCATCTGCCCAGTGGATTACCCTGTAAGTGTCCCAGTTATTTTGCTCAGGTCAAATGCCTTCTTAGGAAAATTGCTGTAGCACTCAATGGCTGCCTTTTTGATGTGCTGTAGATGGAAGCACTGTAAAAGCTTTGCTTGTCTGTGCGTGCTGCATGAAGAAGACACCTTTTTTCTTACAGTTTTTAAAATTTCAGGTGGACACGGCCTACGGGCTGGATCAGACGGCGGATCCCTGTCCTCTCCTGGTGGAGGAAGCAGAGGAGATAAAGTCCCTCGCAGGCCTCAGGTTAAGAAGGAGAAAGCCACACTGGCTGATTTTGTTCCGGTGCTAACCCAAGGCTGGGCGGAAATACTTGTGCGTAGACCTACCGGTGAGTAGAACAAGTGCATTGGGTGCAGTTGCATGATTTTCATTCGATTTTAATGAGTTGTAACAAAGTGTCTGTGCATGGTATTGTAACTCTCAGTATACAGTAGGCTGGAACTTGTGCGTCCCAGCCATAACCAACAAGCCAGAGTGAAAAGAGGGCAACAAATAAGTGGTTAGCACTCTTGCCATGCAGCAGTGATTCTGGCAATTAGTTCCTCCTGCATACAGTGTGTATGTTCTGCCCTTTTGTTTGTATGGTCTTCTTTCCACAATCCAGAGACATACTAATACATTAAGCTGTAACTCTTTTCAACAGAACTGGGGAGGAGCCTTAAATTGACATTAAAGGCTAAATGTTAGTGTAAGGACTTACCTTAAAGTGACATTAAACCCTCAGATTTTTTTTTAACATAAAACAATACTGTAATGTGCGCCTTACTGTAATCCATGGTAGTTTCCCTTCTCATTGCTGCTCTTCCTTTTTAAATCAGTCTCTCTTCTCATGCTTGGGGAGAACTTCCCTTTGCAGCTGAGTGCCTCTTCCTGTAGTGCTGGCTCAGGTTGCGAACCTACACACAGATACCATGTATCCATTCCAGAGACAAGGCAGTCTGCTGCAAAACAGAAGTTCTCCCCCAGCATGAGAAGAGATACAGATTTAAAAGGAAGAGCAGCAATGAGAAGGGAAACTACCATGGTTTACAGTAAGGCACACATTACAGTATTGTTTTATGTTAAAAAATCTGAGCGTTTAATGTCACTTTAAATGATGCCTTTTGATCCGATCATCTTCTTTCCAGTACTTTTCCCTCCAGCGCTGGTGCCGGTCTCTGATCCAGCGCTGACTCCTCTTTTTCCTGGCACTTCCTGTCCCACGGAGTCTGTGCGGGTGCACGCTGCTTGCATTGACTTACCTTGTGTCTCTCCTCGTCTCCCAGCCGAAGAGCTGTACTGCGCATGCGTCCGCCGCATGACCTTTTGCGGCCGCCCGAGAATCTTCAGATCTTTGGACAGGAGTGCAGGGGAGACACAGGTAAGTTTTTTTTTTTTTTTTTTTTTTTTTTTTTTTACTGCTTTCTAGCAGTAGATGTATGCAAAAAACAGGGAGGGTTTTAATTATCCTTTAATCCCTCAGGTTTGTAAAACTGTTTGCACCTGTTGGGAATGATTCTCCCTTTCTCTACTGCACCGGAGATAAAGATTTATTGGAGAAGTGGAGGGAAGACTTTCCAAGTGGGTTCCAGACTAGAATAGAAATGTGCAATAACAGGAACTGGAGCATGCTGATCTTTCCCATTGCATGCATATATATTGCCTCGAAGCTGAAGTTTGTTGCTCACATTTTGATAGCAATTTAAACTAGACACTGCTTCTCATCTCTCCATCCTGTATCCAGGACAAAGTTTTATCCAAAGTTCCACTTTAATTTGTTTGTATCCAGATTGGTCTGATTGCATGTGTGTGATTGTGGTTCCTTTTGAGGGATAGACAGCGTTATGAACGTTTACAAAGCATTGCATCACATCACGGCTATGTATAAACTCATGAAGTAAAACGACGCATTTTTTCACCTCCCAGGTAATACTAGCTGGCTGATGAGCTTGGAGAACCCACTGAGTCCATTTTCATCGGATATTAACAACATGCCTCTCCAGGAATTATCCAATGCCCTTATGGCAGCAGAGAGGTTCAAAGAGCACAGAGAGACGGCTCTCTACAAATCCCTCTCCATGCCCGCCTCCTCACTGAGCGGAGCCACGTGCAAAACAACCCTGCTGCAGAGATCCAACACGGGTAAGTTGTCTCTTACCTTCTCCATGCAATGTCGCTGCACCCATGCTACTACAGGACAGAAGTATGAAGTGAAGGGATTTACTTACTGCAGGTAGGAATGCTAATTCCTGCAATATCCATTGGTATATTGTTGCAAAATGTATTCTATACCCACCATTAAACTAAGGTGAAAGGAGAGCAGCTTTGCTGCCCACCATTATTGTACATTCATGAGGGAAGTGTAGAGAATGGTAGCTGCACTATGACAGCTTTAATTTCTGTAGTGGAGGCTGCAGTGATGACTGATGCTTAAGAACGCTCATACAATAGACTCGGTTTGTAGAACATGTGTCGGCTCCCTTTATGGTGCTATTGTTGGTCATGTGACCCATACTTACAGCGTTTTCTGAACCAAAAAGACCTATTTCACTCCTTAGATTGTGAACAGGGTTCGTACTGCTATCCCAATGAGTTGGTAGACCACGCGTAATTAGTACTTAGTCTGGTAGATTTATTATCATCAACTGGGCACAGGGTCAATCAGTGAAAGTCATAACAATGGCAACTTAATACAATTGCTTAAACCACTTCTATACCCATGGTAATGTAGCCACATATCTTGCCCAATGATGTCCTATGACCGTTACCTCATTGTCTTATGATTTGACCAACGCCCTTATAATACAAAAAACGTTCTTGAAGCCACTTTGTTTCCTAGTTGAAGGCCTAAGAGGCCTTTGTACAAGACCTGTTTTATATTAAGTAAAACAGCCATCAAATGGTCTATTGGTCACTAGTTTGTAGTGGTTTTATAAGCGGTGTTCTTATCGTTGTTGGGCTCTAGGTACTTTCCTGTACCTCGAGGTTGGATTTAGCCCACAAAGTGTCTTCCTGTGCCTGTCTAGTTAACTTGATCAGTAATTGATTGAGCCATCATGACCTACCACCGCATAGAGACAAAGCTTTTGTACCCCTTTCTCAGCGATGTTGTCCACCTAACAATCAAGTACAAGGGGCTCTTGACCTAAATACCTTTTTTATATTACTGCCTCTGTATAAGCTTCCTTAGGGCTAGTGGGTGTGAAGATGGTATTCGGTAGGAAAACAAAACATTGAGATTAAGAAAATACCAAAAGTTTGTTTTTTAAGATTAAAAAAAATGGTGGGGTGCTGCTTCTACGTTTATAGTACTTTTCTTTCATCCTTTTGCAAACCGCTCTTCCTCTCCCATTGCAGTGGCCTCTGTTGCTCCCATCCTCCCTTCCAGTGGTCAAGGAAAGCTGCTTAGGAGCATATCCTGGGCAGGTACATCTATATAGATCAAAGGATCCTCGTAAAACTGTGTCTGTCCCATTTAACAAGCCTGTGGCACCTTTGCAGCCCTATCTTGGACATTCATGTTAGCTGTGTGCTTTATTGCTAATAAAGAAAAAACCCATGAAGGAAGCTTATTAACTGTGGCATGAACTTCTTCTTAGTGTGCATGTGAATGGTTTTGTCGGAGATTAGCTCAGCTTTTGTAGAACCCAACTGAAAGTGCATGCTGACTTGTCTAACTGTGCTGGGATCATCGCTGTGCTTCATGGAAGCTTCAGTTCTGTAAATTGCAATGACTTAATAATGATGTTAACCAGCAATAACCAAAGTGCTGATTTTATCACTTTGATAATAACCCCTCCTTATGTCTTGACTGTCACAAGCCATCCTGGTATCATGTTTCCCTTATCAGGCTGAAGGTGTCATGCACACTTGATTCCAGTCATGTAAAGTTCTGACTGTATATAGAGGGAAAACAATCGGAGCATTGGAGGGCATTCTTACCATTTTATTTTGGGTCTGTGAGAACATTATTGGCCAGGTTGTTTCCTGTGTGGGACACTGGCCAGGTTGTTTCTTGTGTGGGACACTGAGGCCAAACGTTTGTGGATACCTGACCATCGCACCTACCTATATGGGCCAAAGTATGTGGGCAGCCCTCTCCAAATTGAGTTCAGGTGTTTAAAATGAAGGCTACCGTATGGGGTGTCTCCAACCCTGTGGTAACAGTTTGATGAAGGCCCCACTGTGCACAAAGCCAGCTTCATAAAGACCTGGTTTGATGAATTTGGTGTGGAGGGACTTGAGTGGCCTCCACAGAGCCCTGAATTCAGCCCTACAGGTTGTAGATAAAACGTTGATTGCAAGTCAGGTTTTCTCATCTAATATCCGTTCTTGACATCAACGTTGTTGTTTTGGCTGGATGGGCACAAATCCCCACAGACACACTCTTAAGAGCTTGTGGAAAGCCTTCTGAGAAGAGTGGAGGCTGTTCTAGCCACAAAGGAAGAATGAGCGGGGGGGTGGAGAACCCCAAATTCTGGTCACCCCTCATGTCGCGTAGCTTCACCATTCATTCATTGGTGCATTATGCAAGATTTTTCTTAGTTGTGATTATTTTAATGGGGAAGTATCAGGTTTGTTCTGTAACCCTAACCATTGTTCATGACTGTACATGTAGTAACAGGGCTGTATAGTGATTACAACTGAATGCCAGGAAAATGGCTAAATACACAATTTAACTAGACATATGTTGACTGCTTTACCTGCCAAAAGATTTGTAATCCCAGAGTCACAGCAGGGAAATAAAGGAGATCTCTTTATAGCAAGGGGATAGCTTTTGGCTTACTTTACATGCATCCGTCACACCTACCTATATGGCCAAATTATGTGGGCACCCACCTCCAAATTGAGTTCAGGTGTTTCAAATGAAGGGTACCAGTTTGTGCTTTTTCCAACCCTGTGGTAACGGGTTTGGTGAAGGCCCACCTGTACACAAAGCCAACTCCATAAAGACCTAATTTGGTGTGGGGGAACGTTAGTAGCCTCCACAGAGTCCTTAATTCAGCCCTGCAGATTGTAGATAAATTGTAATGTCAATTGCAAGTCAGGTCTTCTCATCTAATATTAGTTCTTGACATCAACTATGTTGTTTTGGCTGCATGGGCACAAATTCCCACAGACACTTCCAAGATTGTGCCGGTCCACCTATAGATATGTATAGGTAAACCTGGCCATACACAGCTCACATTTCAACCAGCTCCTGTAAAGCAGCCAAAACTGGAGCCCGTTTTGGCCCTGATGACCCCATCCAACTCATCAAACTTCAATTTGCAAAATCGAAGGAACCAGGAGGAACATTGTTGGCTTAACAGTGACTGCAGACACTGTTCAGGTATTGAGTACAATAGCTACAGAAAATGTACTTGGCCTGAATAAAGAAAACTAGTCATAAAACCGCAACTAAAGACTATTGAGCTGTAACATTGCATGTTTTTTCTTGGGTTTAGATGTGCTTGTGTATATATATTTGGAGAGTATACATTACAGTAACCCAAACCAGCCGGGTTTCACTTTATCGGAGGCAGGATACTGAAAGATAAATTAATTGCTTTTGGGTTGCTTCCCTTAACATTTCACATTTTACATTATTACAAAACAGTTTAGAGAAGTGAATTAAAGACCATGATTTACAATTGACACATGTGAGCGTCTATGTATCCTCCAGTTTACAAACACGGCATGGAGTCTGCATGGATTTAGAGTAAGAAAGCAGAAAGTAACAAATGTGGATTTCCTCTGGAGAGTCCAATAATGGGGCCAGAGTATTAAAGATGGAGGAAATGAAAACCTCAATATTGCTTTTAGCATCCAATCGAATGCTACCTATTTCTTTTAGATTAAAAAACCAGTAGAGGAATCTGGTTGGTTGCTGTTTGCAGCATTCCCACAGTTACTTGCCTCCAGGTTTTACAGAACATCCCAGAGCTCTTCTGGCTAGGAGATGCTCGGTGTTCTATTACTGATGGACCTCTGATGGACCTTCTGTTTCCAGAGTCGTCTGTGCTCCCGGAGGAAGGCTCGCCAACGGAAGTGGAGGTAGACATGGCCTCTCCTGCTGGGTCCCAGGAGCTGGATGACTTTGAGGCTGTGGCCAATGATGACACACCAAGCGAAGACAAAACAGACAAGAAGACTGAAGGAATCAGCAGGGTGAGTGTTACCGAAATCAAGCGCCGAAACAAAATATGATATTGAACGCACTCCTGGGATTTCATGTAGTAGATTCCTTTTTATTTTATATGTCCTGTTTCAGTTAAATCATTCCAGCGAGGTTTATTCGAGGCGTTTTTATTTTCAAGGGTGATAACCCCTACTTGACTACAACAGTGTCACCTTTTCCTGCACGCTCCTGAGTTGGACTTCAAGCAGCCATGCCAGAGTACAATGCAATTGCACAATCTGGCGTAGTCACTGCTTTAAAACAAAATCCAACTCCTGCTGGAGCCTGCACACTTCTACAATAAGTGCACACCGAGTCTACAGGATTTGCACAGTGCAGGGAGAGAAAATGGGACAAATCTAGTCATTCACTTCAGCTCATTGAACACTTCAGTATCTCTTGTTAATTAACGCCCTTCAAAAATGTAAACAGGAGCAAGACTGGGCTGAGAGGACAGGCAGGAATTACTGGTCCTTGGACCAGTATTAAATACATCTGTTGGGCTCATGGTCCTGAGTGAAGATACTTTGCCATTTAGACATCCATCAGAGTGTGAGCTGCAGTCAGTGACATTGTGCTGGGCATTGCATGTATCTCCTCTGCTCCCGGTACAGACTTGAGATTACAGCACCTGGCCAAGGAAAGTCTTCCAGCACCAACTTCATTTGTAGCTCTGAGATGTCATTTGATCAGATGCCAAGAGCTACAAAGGAAGTTGATACTGGAAGATGTGGAAGAGTTGTCACTAAAAATGTCCTTTTATGAACACCCATTTTTCGTGCCTACCAATGACTACGGCACCATGGCACGCTTTGCATGGTTTGCCCGGTTTTCCAGGCCTCCCCTGCACCGGATAGCTATTTTTGTTTTTTACAACCGTTCTGAAATGACATCCTGATGGGGGAACAGATATATTAAAGGAGAACTATGGGGTCAGTGTTTTTCTCCATAGTTCTCCTTAGGGTAACGGGAGGACACAAACTAGCGTCCTCCCATTACCCTAAGCTTAGTATACCGCGAGCTACAGCTCGCGGTATACTGGGACGCCGGAGCGCATCCCGACGTAGATGACGGGATCCACGCAGCTGCGTGAGTGACAGCTGGCTCTGCCTATCTAGAGGCAGAGCCAGCTGTATCCTCCCCTGGCCGTTCCGCCAGTCAGCGCTGGCAGATCGGAGAGGGGAATCCAGCCCCTCCCCCTGTCACGGTAGAGAGCCGTGACAGGATCGAGAGGTGAGCGAACCTGGTATGTGTTCGCGAACCTGGTATGTGTTCGCTCACCTCCCGATCTACTGAGCCGACCTGCGACAGTCTCATTGTCACAGGTCGGCTAGAACTATGAGGTGAGTGGAAATCACTCATCTCATAGTTCTCCTTTTAAGAAATGTGGTTGGAAAGCTAAGCAGCTATGTCAATCACATCGCAAGTTAAGATCTAAAGATATCACTTAACACAGATTTGTATTAAAACAGACAAGCAAATAAAACCAAAAAGTGTGTAATATTATCTCAACATGCTTTTAGAATTCTGATGATGGTACCCTTTTACAAGGTCTTTCCTTTCCTCCTTTTTATTTGAATAGTCCTCCTCCACCTCCAGTCAGGAATTGTCCACCCAACAATCGGAAGAGTCAGAACTTGGCGGAATCCCCATCGAAGGGTCAACTAGGGAGATTCCTTTCCAGCCCTCGCAGACACTGAGCAAGTCCAGCTCCTCCCCAGAACTGCAGACCTTGCAGGAGCTGCCTAAGGAACCCGAGGCCAAAGAGAATGTCAGTACACCAACACCAGAAGCTAAGCCTGTGCCGCAGACCCCCATCTCAGAGCCACCTATCATCCAGACTGCCAGAGCAGAGGAAGAAAGCGCTAAACCAGAAGCTGGAAGCAGGCTTGAACCAGGGGTGTCACCACAAACTCCCCAATCTCCAAGCGGATACCGTCCCAGGGGCCACACCATTTCTGACTCTGAACCCTCCAGGCGGGGAAGGAGGATCAACATTGATGCTTTCAAGAACAGCACAAAGGCCAGCAAAGCGGACAAAGTTCCTGGAATAGACCCAAGGTACACCCCAGGTCTACCTGTTTTTTTCATTATTTTAATTTTCAAATTAATAATTGTTGGAAAAAACGACTATGCTCGCAAACAACCAATCTGATTTAATTTCTTTTGTTTTCTGTGCTGTGAAAACATGAAAGGAGAATCCAGTATTTTTGTAGATGGGAAGAACCTTTCTGTGCAGATATTTTTATGCATGTGATGACCCATTACACCATTTACTTGGCAAATGACTCGCATGCATTAAACTGCAGTTACTAACTTTTAATCGGTTATTGATTGGATGGGTAATATTTACTGGTCACCCTCAAAGGTCTATCAATTCATTAGGAACTTGTGACCACTTGGATACATGAGGCTTGCTACACTCCCATCAGTTTCTAGTTCTTCTGAAGGGCTTTTAAGACCTGTATATCGTAATAGTTATTGCCCGGTTTTGTTTTGTTTTTGTTTCAGACCTTTGGAAATTGACATTTGTCATGGGTAGGAGCTGTTTGTTAAACAATGGGCCAAGATTTTGATTGTAAGCCATGGTCTGATTTCTTGATATAGTCGGACAGGTTGGCTCATTATATTAGGGAGTGGGGCTAGTTACTTGTATATAAACAAAAACTGGTCTGTTTTTACCTGTCTGGGACTAGGGTTTTCAAAGTCAGTTACTCTTATTGGGTAATGGGACTAGTTACCTTTGTTGGGGGACCAGATGTGCTGTCTCCTGTCTAGGAATAGGGCTGGTGAGGCTTGTTAGTCCTATTGGGTAATGGGGCTGGTTATTAGTTACTTGTATTGGGAAATGGGCATGGTGTCTTCTGTCTGGGAACAGGGCTGGTAAAGTTGGTTGTTGTTAATGGGGCTGGTTACTGCTATTAGAGTATAGGGATGGTTACTTATATGGGAGGAATGGGCCTAGTATTTTAGTCTGGTAATAGGACTGGTGAGGTTGCTTGTTCCTGTTGGCAGTGGGGCTGGTTATGTATATATCAGAGGAATGGGCCTAGTCGATCCTATCTGGGAGGAAAAAGGTTGGTTGTTCCTGTTGGTAATGGGGCTGGTTACTGCTATCAGAGAATAGGGCTGGTTACTTATATCGGGGGATGGGTTTAGTTCCTTTGTCTAGGAATAGGGCTGGTGAGGTTGATTACTCCTCTTGGATAATGGGATTTGAGTCCTTTTTTTTAATTTCTTCTCTCTTTTCCAGCTTTGTGTTTTTACAGTTGTACCATTCTCCCTTCTTTGGGGATGAATCCAACAAGCCCATCCTGGTCCCAAACACTCAGGTAAGTCGTAGCTTAGAGACTAATAGAACTGTTCAAGGCTATTTTGTGGTAGAATAGGTGAAACCTTTAGAATAATTGGTCTCTTTCCTTCATTGGTCTCTTTCCTTCATAAGTCAAATGTGTGATATACGTGATCTTGTCCACATACTCCATATCAGAATTCATAGTTCTGTGCACACAGAGAGTGGGGTGCCCCCTAGCCTGGTGGATCTCTCCGGATTTGTACTGTAGATTGACATCATTATTTCAATGTAATGAAAGAGTATAGAGCTACCAGTTTCTGCCATATGCAGCCACATAATTAAGATTACAGTGAAGTGGACCTTATGTAAACATTGAACAGTCAGCCTATTAGATCACAAGGAATTGATAATATTACTGTGGCAGGAAGTGGTATGCAACACAGTAATGTAACATGTTCCTAGGGCACTGATCACTTCCTTTCAAATATATGTCAAGGCCACCAAAAGGCTGTTGATCCTGCATGCTGGAGATGCATTCTACATCTCCAGGTTGTCAGAATGGTAAGGTGTTCACCTTACCAAACAGATTAAAAATAGTCGGGTCCTGGGCCTCTCTATACAGGCTGGTCCAAGACACTTCCATAAAAACCTGTTAAAAATACAGACACTATTGAATTAAATGTGGATCGATCCTCATTCACCTCTATCATTCATTCCACCGTGAGGGGTAAGTGGCTAGTGTGCTGCATCCACAAATAATAGAAGCAGAGAGTGAAATAAAAGATAAATTTAGGGAACATAAAAAACTAATAATTAAACATCTAAATGGGATATCATGTCACTCGAATCTTACTTGCAAGCCAAAATCATCCCAAGAGGCCTAAGAGAAAGTCATACCGGCGGAGCATTTACAAAATGAACGTTTTCTTACTAAATGGAAAACACAATGCATCGAACACGGTCTGACACTTATTAGGCTAATTGTGGATGAAGAAAGGCTACAAATGAAAGACCTTGAAGTTCAAATCAAAGAGAGCTCAGAGGGACTAGAACCATTAAAAGATCTAGAGTGTTTTAAAAAACATAATGACTTACTACGCAAGGAAGTGGAGAAGACTCAAAGAAATCTAAGACAAATAAAACAGTCTAAATTCCAGAGAGACATAGGTGACTGGGAGAGAGGGGACCCATTCAAACCCTCACAAAATAGGGGCAGGAACGCATCTAGATCGAGACGCTCCACAAGTGGAGATAGATGTTTCAGGGACATCTCCACCAGTGGAAGTGAAAGTGAACCCCCAAAATCAGTGAGTTTTTTTATTGGAAGGGGAGGTCCCCCCATACAAACAAAAAGACCTAAGAAAAACAGAAGACCTAAGAAGAGAAAACATAACCAGTCAAAATATGCCGTCTCAGACCAGGACCAATGTAAAAACGAGGAGTCGTCGGACCTAACTCCATGCCACCCACTGGGGGACGAACAGACCAAGAATGTGATTAACCTAACTGACTTCCCACTAAACGAACATCATATAAACCTCCTTAGAAGAGGATTGTCTTTTGCCCCAGTCGATGGCATGGATGAATTTACCATCTACAAGGATCTTAATTTATTTCTAAGAAAAGTTTATTTAAAATACATATATCAACTCAGAAAGACACCTCCATCACATAAGGATACACCACAAACGAAAGAACATAACATGCCAGAATTAGATGCACAAGCACTAAAAGATCTAGAGGCCCTATTGGAAGAGAACACTATATCCCAGGAACCCTGGGATACTCCAACAAAAAGGATTACTTCCCTGAAAAAAGGATCAAAAACAATGCCCAATTTTCTGAGCAATAGGTACCTGGCTTTGTTCAGGGAACTAATACATAATGAACTCAGACAAATAGACTGGACAGTGAAGGGTGCAGACAATCTTAAAAAATCGGAGAGGGTAGCCCTAAGGGAGCTCAGAGAAGCATCTGGGATAATAATCAAAAGCAGTGATAAGGGAGGTAATGTAGTGCTCCTCCCGGAGGAAGCATACATAAAGGAGGTTAAAAGACTATTAAATGACGAAAATACGTAAACCAAAGTGAGAGAATCCCCTTTCAAAACCCTAATTAATGAATTTAACAACAAAATAGAACTCGCCAGAGAAGCAGATTTACTCACACAACGAGTTTCGTTTTCTGAAGATAGGAAATTATAATATCCCCACATACTACATTATACCCAAAATCCATAAAAACTATGATAACCCCCCGGGTAGACCGATAGTATCGGCTGTAGGAGGACCACTCGAGAATATGGGTAAATACCTGGATTCTCTTTTAAAAGAAATGGTAACACAATTACCTTCCTACACCCGAGATACCAAGGATCTAATACAGGAGGGCTCCCTGCTGGTTGGAATCGATGTGGAATCACTTTACACGTCGATTCCTCACGAATGGGGACTAAAAGCCATAGAACACTTCCTAGATGTGCATTTTCCCCTAATGGCAACACAAAATGAGTTTATTGTAGAGCTATTGGAGTTTGCTTTGGACAACAAGTACTTCCAATTCTCGGGAATGTTCTATAAACAGATTAGGGGCACTTCTATGGGAGCCCCATGGGCTCCGTCCTATGCATGCCTCCATCTGGGCCTGTGGGAGCAGGAACTAGTGTATAATCATCCTCTATACCTGGGCCACGCGAAGACGTGGCTCAGGTATATTGATGATATACTAATGGTCTGGAGTGGCGGTGAGGACCTCCTGATATCTTTTGTCAGTGACTTAAATATGAACAACAGGAATTTAAAATTCACCTATATTGGAAATGGAAATCTTACCATAGAAATTCAGAATCAAAAATTAATCACAAAAACATATAGAAAAGAAACTTCAGCAAACACTCTTCTTCATGCAACCCGCCATCACCCTCCCCCCCCTAAAACAGGGCATTCCCACAGGCCAATTTTTAAGAATAAAACGCAATTGCAGTGAACCTGCAGAGTACCTAAGGGAATCTAGAGATCTATATAAACGGTTTAGGGAAAGGGGATACTCTCACAAATTGATTAAAAGAAGCAAAATAAAAGCAAATCAGAGATCAAGGGAAGACCTTCTGAAAAATAAGGAATTAAAAACGGTCAACGAAAGTAATAACTATACACGTATAATAACCAAATATGGATCAAATTGGGAAAAATGAAGACAACTTCTTACAAAACACTGGCACATATTCGATTTGTGCCCACCTTTTATCCAACATAGTGGGCCCAAGACCCCTACTTACAGCCCGTCGCTCAAAAAATCTGAAAGATAGTCTAGTCAATTCCGAATATACACCTAGCTCGTCAAAACAATCACTCTTAAGTTGCAAAAAAAGATTAAAAGGCATGTACCCATGTGGGGGCTGCCAGATCTGCCCATACATAGATAAAGCAAAAATCTTTAAAAACTCGGAAGGTACAAAATCCTTTAATATAATGAGTTTTAACAACTGCAATTCAAGCAAGGTTATATATGTAATGGAATGCCCATGTCAGAAGCTCTATGTGGGGAAAACTAAAAGACAACTGAAAGTAAGAATAGGCGAACACCTAAATGACATCAAGAAGAGAGACATAGACAGTCCCCTAGCCTTAAATTTTTTAGAACATCATAAAGGGGTCCCCGACGGACTAAAAGTTAATATCATCTACCCATTAAATATTTCACCCCGTAGAGGAGATTTCGATAAGATTCTCCAGCAGCGGGAGAAGATGTGGATCTATCGATTAAACACCATGTTACCCATTGGGTTAAACAACGAATGTAATCTCAACGTCTTTCTATAAGGTGATATATTTAACCAAACATATCGATAGACCCACATACTTCAGAAAACGAATCTGCATACAGGTGGTTAAATTATCTTAACGGGTATGTAGATACCGCCATATGTTAATGTGTAATGAAAGGGGAGAAGTCTTGTAGTGTGCAGGGCCGTGTGGGAAAAACACTCTCCATATATGTTAATTTTAATTCTATGTTGTCTAGTGAAACCAATAAGTGGTTTTTCACCTGGAGGAAGGGGAACCGCCTCCTATAATCTGAACTAATGATTAAGAAGAAAGAAAAGAGGCGTGACCTAATTGGTTAAAAAGCGATTCCTTCAACCTCAGAGTATGTCCTGACGAAGCCCCGGTTTGTAGGAGGGGCGAAACATGTCGACAGACAGACAACAACCAGACACATAACCATTATGCCGCAAGTGGACGCACGATCCTGATACCAGGGAACTCTGTCATATTCTCAATTGGGGTTTGGGGTTCTCAGCAACGGACAGACTACGCTGAGGATACCCAGGATATGATCCAAACGCCATTTGCCACTAGCAACCAATCTTTGGAGGAAACAACAAGATATCGATACATAAAAACGGATCACTGGACTTCAAAGGAAGGAAATAGTCTTCAAACCGCCCGGACTATAAGAAAACTTCAGTAAACGTGAGTGACGAAAAATCCTCTATCCATGTCCGTTAAGGACAGTGTTTGAATACCATACTGAAGTGAAGCCCTATACCCTCTACACTCAAAATTCAATATTAATTGAGAGAGAGAAGGTTAAAGTCAGGCGTGACATAGAAGATGGTCCAGTAGTAGTCTGTCCATGGGAAAACATCCCCACCCTCCCCCCTCGGTTTGAACAGACAATCTGATTATATCCCGGTGTCTCCACCACGATATCCCAAGGTGAAGGAGTAAAGGGTTAAGTGTACACACGGCTAAATATAAGCCAACACTAACCCAAGGAAAAGTTTAACCCCACAGGGAAACACCCATCAAAGGAATCCCTAAAGAAAAAGCAAATTGATAGAGGGAAAGGAACTGAAAACATCTGAGGACATATTTCATTATACCAGAAAATAGCCTATTAGGATCTACCTTATCCACAAGTATCGGTGTTTAAAGCACAGTATATACTCTGATTCCAAATGTACGAAGCCTAGGCTACCATTTCATATTTAATTTGACTCCCCTTTTTAATTCACAAATATGAAATTACCAGAATGTTTTTCCTTTTGATTGCCCATACCCTGGAATATAGCTTCACCTAGATAGCCCGTGTTCATCGATATACGCATGGGCCATTTCACGGAGAGATAGGTGGCAACGTGGGCAGCACACTAGCCACTTACCCCTCACGGTGGAATGAATGATAGAGGTGAATGAGGATCGATCCACATTTAATTCAATAGTGTCTGTATTTTTAACAGGTTTTTATGGTAGTATTGTCAGTCAAATGTGTCATCTTGCATGCCTTTTTCAATAAAATTAATTTTTCATGTAACCAACTGACTTGTCCGGATCCTGAAATTGACCACTACTAACCCGCCATCTTGTGACGAGTTAACCTCCCTTTTTTCTTCTGCACAAATACGGTCAGGGATCGGACTACACAAGCAGTTGTGCAAACATAAGGAGGGGAATTAGAATTCATCGGATCTCCAGGTAGGAACAATACCCAATTTGAATTGGTCCAATAAAGAAGCGGCAGCGTATTGATGGGATCATCCATGTGCCCTTCTCTCGTGTAAAGAATATTTAGAGTTCGAGTATTGGGCAGCTCCCGGGAAGGACTGGTGCTGCGTGTGATTTAGTACGCAGCCCCTATCCTTCTCTATGGGACTACGCGGCCATACACCGCCCTACGCTCACCCCAAGTGCAAGTCCGTACGGGTGCGGGTTTCCCGAGTCGGATGCAGACAGGATCCATCCCTGTCAGCGTATGAGTACGGACACCCACACGGACGTGTAGGGCGGCGTACTCCCATAGAGGACGGGCTGCGTACTAATCACACGCAGCACCTGTCCTTCCCGGGAGCTGTTCGGTATGGCCGTGCCGGCTTTTTCTCGTGTTAATGAGGCCTTAAAAAAATGTTTAAATGTTTTAAGATGAGCCCAAATAATTAAAATTGGTTAAAAACTAATATACAGGACATGTTAAAATCGGGAGACTATTTTAAGTCGGGCACTCTTTTACATATAGGAGACTTATCAAAGGTAGCCAGCATAAGGCTCCTTCTATAGCATAGATTGTGTAAATGTCTATTGAGTGTGTAGTTTAGGTTAGTCTCATGAGGCCTTAAGCTCATCACACATTACATTCTGACTGCACAATCTCCTTTAGATCTACCAACAAGTATGTAGTGCAAAGGCCCTCCTGATTGGATAGTTAAGTTAGGTTCTCGTGTTGCATAGTTTGGTAAATCTAAAGAGATTAGATATGCAAAGAAAAAGAGCTTTCCAATCTGAGAAGGAGCAGCACCCCTGGGGCCAGTCCATCTTAGAGGGTAGTTGCTTGCTGTGAGCGCTGAAGGACTAATTTTAAAGAGATGGTCTGATTGTAGAGTGTATATTGAGCTTTTGACTGATGACGCCATGCATGGCAGTAGATTCCGAATTGACGGAGACTACTGTCCCTCCCGCTCCCAATGTGAGTGCAGTCAGCTTGTTGCAGAGTTTGCTATCAAGACTATGTCAAATAGATATGCTAGATCTTTGTAATGCATTTATCTGTATTTAATGAATGTGTAATCCAGCATGTTGCAAAAGCCCATAGAAACCAGATGAACATTTGAGTTCTGTTTTGGATCATATTTTTATATTGGTCATTTTGTTTTGTAGACATTTGAAAGGACAATGAAGCTGCTTGATCAGATCCCATCCTATGACACCCACAAAATCGGAGTCCTGTATGTCGGGGAAGGACAGGCGAGTACAGCTGAGTTTAACTTCTTCAAAGCTATCATTTCTATTTTTTACCTTTTGAAAAATGTAATGCCGTATTAAAGCAAACCAGCCACTGTGGAAAAAAGTGGCATGCTGTATCCACTAGTTGGCCTTGGTGAGGGGTGGTCTTATGCTGGTTCTGGGCTGCAGATATAAATGGCAGTCCGCTATGACGCCATCTTGGAGCCAACATACTGCTCATTGCTGATGAAGTTGGTTCTTTTTGCATGCAAAGGGAATAGACAGGCAGTGCTTGAAACTGAGTACACAACACACAAGGACCTGCATATGCCACAAACAAAGTATTTATGTGACATGTTCTTACATTTTTTAATCATGTATGATGTCCTGTATTCATGCAGCATTCATGCTTTCTATACATATCATTGTCGGACCATTTTATATGCTAAATATTTACTCCAGTGTACCTTGTGTCTAATAGGTGGGCATAGAGAGGGCGATTCTGTCCAATGAGCACGGCTCCTACAGATACACACAGTTCCTGACTGGTTTGGGAAAACTGATCGAGTTAAAGGACACTCAGCCTGATAAGATCTTCCTAGGTGGTCTGGACGGGTGTGGAGACGACGGTCAGTTCACCTACTGCTGGCATGATGACATCATGCAAGGTATGACATCATTCTCTCTAGACTGTTTATGGGGGCACATCCTCTTATCATTCAGTCTAAAGTTCTCGGGTCTTGCAGCAGTAAGTTTATCAGACAGTTCTCGGGTATATTCTACACATCTAGAGGGAATAAGTAGTATCTCTGTGCCATGAAATCACATGCTGTCATTGTCAACCTTTTTTGGAAATGGAATGGTGGTTGTGGAAAACACCTGAACCATTTGGTAATAATGTTCCGGGTCCGTTGTTTTCAGTTCCTTTTTTATTCCAGTCTGCGACATGAAATAGATGGAGCACAGCCTATCTAGTCTGGACTTCTGTTCACCCATACGTAGGTGTAGTGCCCAAGCCCATTCTATGTCTTTATTGGTGGTCTCTAAGCATCACTTGTTGAACCATATGAATAGTCAAGTCCTGGAGCACATACAGTATGGGATCTTGCTGAATTATGGCTGCACTGCATTGCGCAGAACTAAGGCCAAGGCACAAATAGGAATAATATGTTAATAATTAAAGTGAACCTGTGCTCTGCCCATACTAGGCAAGGTAACCAGCTTACTTTACAGGAGACACTAAAAGCAGACACTTATTGCCTTCTCCATGCTCCACTGATACTGAAAGCCAGGGAAATGCCCATTTCTTGCCGACCTTCCCCCTTCCTCCCAACAACATAGAACGTGGTGCCTGAGCGGCCAATCACCAGGCCCAAGTGCTGTCATGTGGTAGTGGGGGAACTGAGCATAGCCCTGTGTGTTTCTTGCACGCACACCTAATTCCTTAGAAGCTGAAATCCTTTTGTTTGCATAATACTGACTTCCATCAAATTTGTTCAGTCATTTTCCAGATCACCACCCTGATGCCCAATAAAGAGATTGATCCTTACCGCTGCAACAAGAAGAGACATGTTGGAAACAACTTTGTAAACATAGTGTACAATGATTCTGGAGAGTTCTATAAGCTAGGCACTCTAAAGGTAAGTGAAGAAAAAAAAAATTCTGCCAGGAACATGTTTTAGATCGGACTTACAGCCTACAGAGACCACACGCAGCCTTCCTGATCATTCGGCCTCATTGTATACATAAGATTTTTCAGGACCTCTTATCACTTCTATGTACTGAATAAACCAGTACTCTGTTGGCTCACAGCACATGACTGGCATTTTGATCACATGGTCTGCGTAAATTCCGATTCTGGTGGAGATGATGTGACCAGCTGCTTTATATACTGGGGCAGGAAGAGCAACATAGCGGGAAGGCTGTATATTATGTGTACTTTAATTTCTCATCTACACTTTCAGGCTAGAGTCAAACCTACTGCATACTCAAACATTTGCAGTACTCCCAGTCTGCGCATCTAATATTTCACTGATATGTCAGGGGAACTAACAGCAGGTTGCTCATCCTCCTGTCTCCAGTTTTTCAGCCTCTTTTTATTATTTTTATAGTGTAATTTATCTTTTTTTGTCTTTTTTTTTTTTTTTTTTTTTTTAAATCAGGGTCAGTTTAACTTTGTGGATGTGAACATTCAGCCCCTAGACTGTGAAAGTAACCTGGTGACCCTGCAATGCCGAAAAGGTGAGACGTTGTCATCTCTCTTCCATGATGATGTGATTACTATTCATTATTCTTGGCCCTGGAGAAAGTGCAGTGTGAAATTTCTAGCTCCTTCAAGAGCTGCCATAGCTGTGGCTGTCTGACACTTCCAGGTGTGTCAGTTTGACTGTCCCCCACTCAGCGCTGTGATTTCACCCACAGGCTGCTGTGTCAATATAGAAATAATGATATTTAAATGTATTATACTGATGTAATGACTGGTGGGTGGAACCACAGCACTAGGGGGGGTCAGAAAGAGCCTGGTAGCAGTGGCTCCTGCAACCCTTAAAGAGTGAGTGTTTCATTGGCCCTTCTGCCAGACAGGAAAGCATTCAGCATATCATTCTCGCTGAATTTCTTCATGATCACAAACAAACTTGTGATGCAAGTGGAAATTTCATGTTTTTGTACTCTGTTCTGCTAACCGGCTTGATGTCAGGGTGTCACTTCCTAGTCTACAATTTAGCATTATCTCCTGTTGCATAGAAGGGGTTAAAACATAAACTGACTTGTGTTTAGTAATTTATTAAACTGCAATTTTTAAGAATCTTTTCACATTTCTTTCTTTGTAGATATGGAAGGTCTGGTTGATATCTCTGTAGCCAAAATCGTGTCGGATAAAAACCTTCCCTTTTTGGCCCGCCAGATGGCTCTTCACTCAAACGTAAGGGTTCTTCTATGGTTGTATATTGGGGGAGAAGGCAGATCTCTGGGGATAGAGGCCCTGTGAGGTCGGACACCAAGCTAAAGCAGAAGGTCTTTATTGCTCCCCTTATGCCTTACCCCTCATTACAGGCAGCAAGAGATCACATTTAGCTCGGTGTTCTTGAAAGCTGATTGTTTTGCACACTAGAAGGGTTGAAGGCTTTTACATTTTACCTCCTCTGAAACATTATCGACTACTCAAAAAATCAAGCTGAAAGGAAGCACTGCCATTTTGGTGGCCCAAAATTAGTCTCGGAGATCTGAGGATCTGATCATAGACATTCCCTGGTCTGTCCATTTGAGCCAGTCCCAAGCACCACTACTCCACCCTTCTTGTCAGTCAGTGGCTATTGTACCATGGCTGGTGAACCTCCCATGTTGAAGACAATCAAGCTGTAAGAAGGTTGCAAGTGCTTTTCTGGCTCTGTTTGCCATCGTACTTGGCAAGCCTTTTCCCTATGTTCTTTTTAAGGACTTGCTCACAGCGTACATGTTCAGTGGTGTGCACAAAAACTGCTCAACAGACCTGTATGCCCATATATGAAGACCTATGCTGTTTTTCTGCCCAGTAGTGTCACCCATATACAATTACAAGTGGCCAATTCTGTTAGATGGAATTTCAGCCCAACTCACAAAATTTACTCAATTCCCAATGCATGCAGGAAAAAAAGCCAAATGACACTAAAATGTCATTTAATATTTTCATCTGTTACATTTCTTTTATTTTGGAATTTATTTTGGAATTAAGATTTTCGGTTCCATGTTCTTTAAAAAGCTAACACACAGTGGTGTTCTTTCTGTATGCCTCAGTCGATATTATTTTGCTGTCAGTTGTACAGGTGTGATTGATCTGTGTCTTATAAAGGCATTTGTATAGTTGCCTCTGACGTCTTTCCTCTTCACCCTCCTAGATGGCATCACAGGTGCACCACAGTAGATCCAACCCCACAGACATCTACCCTTCCAAGTGGATTGCCAGGCTGCGGCACATTAAGAAGATGAGACCCAAGGTAGGTCACTATAAGGTGTATGTATGAAACTGCCTCTCTGAAGGCAGCTTCCAATGCACTATATGTCACAAAATGTGTGGAAACCTGACCATCACACCTACCCATATGACCCAAAGGCATGATTGATTTGAGGTGTTTCCAGTGACGGGTTCTGTTAATGATGTTGCATACAAAGACATTTTAGACAATTGTGCACTTCCATCCTTATGGGGACAGCTTGGGAAAGGTCCTTTTCTGTTCTAGCATGACTTCACCCCTGTGCACGAAGCCAGCTCCATGAAAACATGGTTTGTGCAGTTTGGTGTAGAGGAACTCGTGGCCTCCACAGATCCCTGACTTCATCCATATTGAACACTTTTGGGATGATTTGAAACGCTAATAGCGAGCCAGGTCTTCTTATCCAACATGAACGCCTGACCTGAGCTCTTTTGGCTGAAGGAGCACAAATTCGCACAGACCCACTCCCAAATCTTGTGATGCGCCTTCCCAGAACAGAGTTTGCTATTGCCACAAAACTGGGCAAACCCTATGATAATGGCTATGGTTATGGAAAGGGTTGTCTAACAAGCTCATATAGGTGTGATGGTCACATTTGTGCGGTATACTCTAGGTCTTTAACCCTTTTGCTGCCAGCGATATAAGGCATATGGCACTGGTAGCGGGCCCCATTTAAATCTACTCCTGGCGGCTATAGTCTGTTTACCTTTGTAAAGCCAACTGTTGGCTTTACACTGGAAGCGATTCTGGTGCCTCAAAGGCTGGCAGATCATTTCCAGGGGGTGGTAAACAGAGGCCCCCTGCCCGACACCCCCGGCCTTGCTTCCTGAGCTCTGCTGCCCCTCTTGTTGGCCCAGGACTGTCAGCAGGGAGAGAAACCAGAAATATGCGTTCGCTGATCTCCCCAATGAATGAAGCCGGAAGAGACACTGATTTGTATCATTTTCTGAGCTCTCACTCCCGGCTTCAGAAGCTGGAGAAGAAGCTGATCAATCAGGATCTGTGCTTGGTCAGCTTCACTGATATGCAAAGGTGACATTAGGGGTCAAATAGACAAGTCTAAGCTTGGCATGTTGGGTATCTATTTACCTGGCACAACCTCTTCTTTTATATTTTACAATAAAATTAGGTATTGTATTTTTTTTCTGCACTAAAATTAACTGGTGTATTTTTTACTGAAATTTTGTGTTTTTGAGTTGCACTAATATCATGCAACATAAAAATTTGCAACTGCCACCATTTTATTCTACTGGGTCTCTGTTTCAATGTATATTTCTGTGGGATCCAAGTCATTTTCAGGCCTAAAATGTGTATTATACCGTGTGCAAAAAATGTTTCGACATCGAAAGGGTTAACCTCATCCCAGCACTCTGTACTGAGAGAAAGACGCACTGTGACGTGTATGTACATCGCATTCTTCAAAATGGCCCTGAAGTCTATAGGAGAACACATATCCAATCTGAGTCAATCAATAATAATATTCTTCCAGTGCCTGTTATTGGTAGCTCACACTAGATTGAGCATGTCACCCACAAGGCTGTATATAGTTCTGCCCCCTGCCCTGTACCGCATTCATAGAAGTGATCTTGGTTGCTTTAACATAACCAGGCAAATGAAGCAAGTTTGCCAATTCCACATTACCTTTTTACTTGCTGCTGCTGTCATTGGAGAGATGTAATGAGATTTACCAGTTCAAGCTTCTTTCTCTTACCACAATTGTCTGGACACAGAGATGTATCATGGAAGATATTTGTCATTACTTTAAGTAGTTCTGCCAAGGATACCTCATGATTGGTTGGCAGGAATAAGCAGAGAGTCTGCATCTCTAAAGGAATGCCCGATACCCTTCATTTCAGACACCAGATAACATTATAGCCTTCCTTCCCTTGGCATATTTCCATTGTCTTTATGGTGTGACACCATGTTGAATACAGGAGCTATAAATTCCTGACATAAAGTTTCACTCTTATTATAAAAAAAAGCAGCCCTTGAGCTCCGGTCAGTTACTTTGCCTAGGCTGAGGGGATGTGATCAGTATGCTGTAGACCAGAAGAAGCATTTCCTCAGGCTCCTCTTCTCCAGAGATCAGACTGCAACATTCTAACTTTGTAGTATCTAACTTTGTAGTAAGCCACACGGTGAGGCTACAGCATAGGCTGACCTGCGTCAGACATTTGGGAACACAGAACTGTGCAGACACCAGGATTTACATGATTGCGTCATCCTATGAATTGGCATCTCAGAAAGTAGATGCTGACCCTGGTAGATGACTGAGCAAAGATGGATCCATCCTTGTGGACAAGCAGATGAAGGCATTGTTGGTGGGAGTATTTTGATCCCTGTGAAAGGTAATAAATATTTCTAAGTGCTACTTACACATGACTTGGCATACACGCACTTAATGTGAAAACTATATCTGATTCTAGGTGTACTTTAAGGTCTTTTATTTATCGCATTATATGTAATAACTTGTATGTTCTTTACCCGCATCCTGCAGATCCATGACGAGCTGCTGGAAATGAGTGCCAATATGCCTTATTCAATCCACAACCTCTCCAACAAACCCCCTCCACAGAATCCTCCATCAGCAAGCGGCTCGTTCGAAACCGGTCAGCGGACACGGCTGATATCCGCTGTGGATGACTTCACGGAGTTTGCGTAGAGGAGGCGTGGAGGTGCTGGACTGTCTGAATGGTACACCCCCAAGGCCTTGACAGGAGCAGGCTGGAAGTACAGACTATAATACGCTGAACACTAAACCTAACGCGCCGCATGTAGCAAGAACACAGCTCAATGTTGTAGAAGAGACTCTGAATTAAATTATTTTCAGTACTGGAATGGAACTCTAATTTATTAAAGACTTCTTCATCAAAGGACAGGAAACCATTCGTTTGAAGACGTCTCTTTCTTTGGACACATACAGTATGTGACTACTTTTGCTTACAAATTGTTTTCTGCACAATTATAAAATAAAGTTTAAAAAAACAGTATCTTTGTATTGATGTGAGGCTGGCAGTGGTCCAAAGGTTGTAAATCTCAGTGATAGGTTAGCGCAGGGCTGGACAAATCCCAGGAGCCAAGGTCGCCAGTGCTCCTTAAAAATTACAGGTGGTGCCTAACTCGTTATCAATGGAGTGGCTCCTAAAACAAACCCTGCGGGCTCCTGGTTTGGACAGTCTGGTTCCTGGATTCCATATTAAAGGAGAACTATGCGGTGAGTGCTTTTCACTCACCTCATAGTTCTAGCCGACCTGTGACAATGAGACTGTCACAGGTCGGCTCAGTAGATCGGGAGGCGAGCAAATGCATACCGGCGTTCACTCACCTCTCGATCCTGTCACGGCTCTCTGCCGTGACAGGGGAGGGGCTGGATTCCCCCCCCCGCTCCGATCCGCCAGCGCTGACTGGCGGATTGGACGGGGGAGGGGGCGGGGTACAGCTGGCTCTGCCTCTAGATAGGCAGGGCCAGCTGTCACTCACGCACTGGGCGGATTCCGGCACAATTGTCGGGATCCACTTCAGCCGCGGCGTCTCAGTATACCGCGAGCAGCAGCTTGATCACTGCATAACAAGGAAGTGAGCAGTGAGTGACCAGTAGGGTACATTGATAAAGAAGATGGGGAGGGTTAGGTAGACTAGTAGGGTACATAGCAGATGGGGAAGGTTAGGTAGACCAGTAGGGTACATAGACAAAGAAGATGGGGAAGGTGAGGTCGACCAGTGGGGTACCATAGAGAAAGAAGATGGGGAAGGTTGTGTAGACTAGTAGGGTACACCGAAGATGGGGAAGGTTAGGTAGACCAGTAGGGTACATAGACAAAGAAGATGGGGAAGGTTAGGTCGACCAGTGGGGTACCATAGCGAAAGAAGATGGGGAAGGTTGTGTAGACTAGTAGGGTACACAGAAGATGGGGAAGGTTGTGTAGACTAGACTAGTAGGGTACACAGAAGATGGGGAAGGTAAGGTAGACCAGTAGAATACATTGATAAAGAAGATGGGGAAGGTTAGGTAGACTAGTAGGGTACATATCAGATGGGGAAGGTTAGGTCGACCAGTGGGGTACCATAGAGAAAGAAGATGGGGAAGGTTAGGTAGACTAGTTGGGTACATAAAGAAAGAAGATGGGGAAGGTTGGCTAGAGCATGAGGAAGGGAAACTTGGGTATGGTGGGGAAAATGAGGGTACAAAGAGGGGAGGCCTGGGTCCATAGAGCAGCAGCAGGTGACCAAAATCCACACTGTAAAGCAACAAAGTCCAAAACCGATCAGGCCTTCAAAAGGGAAAGATAACCCTGTGAAATCAACCCAGTAAAACCAGGTCTTCCTGAATTTCCCCTCACAATTCAGAAACAATGATGTAAGTAAACATTCAGTAAGATCTTGGGGAAAAAAACCTGACATAACCCTTCTGTGATGAGATAGATCTGCAGTACATTTACCAGCTGGACCACAGAAATATTTATTATTTAGCAGCAGGAGTGTGGACAGTGAACGTTTAGCAGCACCAGATTCTAGGAATACTTCAGTGGAGAATGTTTTTGTCCTCAGAAGTACCCGAGTCTCAAGTCCTAGACATGGAAGAGCTGAATAAACTCCAAGCTGTTTCTCTCAACCTTTTCACCCCAGAGAAACTTCTGAAATATTTTTCTGGTATTGAGAAACCCCTTCTTACCATTAATTATACCCACAGTTTTCAGAACACTAGCCTGGTCACTGAATTGTATGCCATTCATACCATAAATATGGGAATAAGCCATATGGCATACCAAGGGCATCTGACACCCTGGGTAGATTGTTTTGTTTTTTTTTTCCCTTCTCCTGCTTTGTTGGGATAATTACAACACTAATAACATAATTTTTTAGTAATAATCTTGAAATTGAATAACAGAAAAGCTGACAGTACAAATTGTGGTGTCCCCTAACCTTAGTGATCAGGATAGAAGTGACCTCTTGCATTAGTGGTCAGTGTAAGTGGGATATCAATCTGCCACTGCTCACTACTCCAGGAACCCTTGGCAACCTCGGGCAGAACCCCTGGCAGAGAACATTTGTCCTAGTGGATTATCTCTGCTTGTGCTAGGCTTTGAACCTTCTGGATTTTCGTTGACAAACCTGCTGCAGTTTGTGTCCCCAAAAAAAAGAATCTGTGTGCATACAATATGAGCTGCAAATCAGGTTGACTGGCCCCCCTCTGATAAACGTCGGCACAGATGCTTATCTGAGGAAGACCGAGCCGGGAGAAGCAGCCTCCTCCTTCCCTCCCTTCTCTTCCTGCCTGAGCAGAGGGCAAGTGACGGACAGACAATGACCAGAGGGAGCGGGTGGGGGAGAAGAGATAGTGAGGTGCTATAGGAGCTATCGCAGCACATTTTTATATTGGCAGCGGGTGTAGAAACAAAACAATGCAGCAGACCTATTACCTAGAGTAAGCCTTTCAAACTCGCAGCTCTGTATAATTCAGGACTTAACGGTACCACAGTTTACGCTTCTGAGCTGCCCCCTCTATGCCGAAAAAGTGTGGATCCCCCGGCACTACTTGAAATCTCAGGTTTTTGGGGGGGGTTTTTGAGGCCCTATGACAGGAGATGCAACAAAATGCTACCCTGGGTGGCAAAGTTACATTAGCAGTGGCACTGAATATCTTTAGTTCTACGGTTTGACGTATGAAGCCTAATTTTCTGTTTAAGTGGGCAGAGCCGCAGATAAAATACATGGGCCCCAACATTACCGCAGACATCAAACTATAATGCCAATTTTGTGCCTGTGCTGCATAGAAACAAGGTGGACCTCAAGACTTGGCAAAGGTCTTGCGTTGTTTGATCATTGTAACTCAGTCAAGGTAAAGATTCTGCCCAGGATACTTTGTCTTACAAACAGAACCTTTAAGCTGCCCCCTCACTTTTTCAGCCAGCTCTACCAGGGATTCATGTAATTTTATATGGGCCCATAATTCCCTTAGAATTAAGAGGCAAACCTGCTCTCTCCCCAAGCACGGCGGGAGAGTGGGACTTCCAGACGTTGTCCTGTATTATAAGGGCACTCAACTTAATAGACTGGTGCAGTAACCACAGTCATAATCAGTGGGTTGTCATAGAACAGGAGGAATCTCTCAGTCCTGTTGCATGCCTTCCATGGTTTGCTCCACCTCCAGAGATTTTGGCACATCTCCTGATTAGCAGCACCATTCAGGTCTTCATTTCCCTTTCCATCACTGCTGACCCCTGTACTAGGTGACCTGGACTTTTTTACTTGGTGTGGAGAACCAGGATCTTCACTGCCTACTTATGGCGGATAGGTTTAGGCCACATGTGTCAAACTCAAGGCCCAGGGGCCGAATCCGGCCCACCAGGCCATTTCCTAGACTTCTACTTTCAGCTCTAGGTATTAAGTTATTACTAAAACCAGTGATAATCGAATGCAGAGGCAATTATGATAAAGATTAGATACATTTATATAGTCTTACAGCAGAGGCGGCTCTTTAATTAGGCAAATTAGGCGGTCGCCTTAAGCCTCGCGCTCCCGAGGGCCTCGCGGCCGCCTAATTTGCCCTG